TTTAATTTATTTTTCTAATCTTTATTCCAAGTGACATCAGTATTCTGGCAATACCAGGGACTCATTCTGGGCATGTTTCCAGACTGATGTCTTTGATCAGCTAATCGTTTTGATAGAACAGAGGCATTCCCAGCAGAACACAAGGTACTCAGGATTCTTACAGATTCTCACATTTTTATGCATAGGTCATGCTAGGAAGAATTTGGGCTAAGCTCTTTGAAAAGCATCATGTGAACCCTGTGTTCTGAAAGAGTGACTAAAATGAAGCAATGTGTAGGAAAAAAAATTTTCAAAATTCCTAGCAAACAGGAAGGTACCTGGGAAAAGTAAAGACAGTTACTAAGGAGTCCTGTTTTTATTTAAGTTGAACAGCTTCTTCAGAAAGAAATACAGAAAGGCAGTGTGAGTCTTACCTCCCCAGCATGTTGTTCCTCTTCTTCTTCCAATAAAATAGATTGGTATTGAGCCCATCATTGGGCTGAGAGGGGGGGTTTGCATGACTGTCTATATATTTACTCAATTTCTTTAATTTAGGTTATATTTTAGCTTTTTTATTAAAGAATAATGTAATTTGCACTGGTTCTGTTTTCATAACAAATGCTGATTTGTTTTGTAAGCTGGTTTTAATGCTCTTTGAAGAGATCTGTGTTAGCTGATCTCTGTTCTGACAAAAGACATACCAGTCTAATGAGTAGTCTTCCTTTATGGCTACGTTGGGGTTTCAGGGACGTTCTTTATGTAGGTCTTTGCTTTATTTGCCAGCCTCTTCTAGCAGCCCTCTGACAGCACTCTAATTTAACTGAGCCTTCAGGAAAGAGAAGGGCTTGGTTGGTTTTTGTGGGTTACAAATCTGTGACTTGAGTAACAGCGGGCTGTGTGAAACAGGTTGGTCTCAGTTCTGCTGTGAGTGCAGAGAATTCCACAGGGCATAATCTGCATGTGGCATTCAGGTGGAAACTTTTACTCTAATGACTAAATAGGAGCATGTGCTAAGCCTTTTGTCTGGAAGTAAACCTTCCAGCATGAAGTTCAGCATGCATCAGTGAAATGGTGATGCTCAAACTTGTTTGCTGTACTTAGAGTTTGCAGAAGACCTCATTCTTGGGATAAAAGCCCTTCAAGGACTAACCATCATTTGAAAAGAAAAATGTTAAACCTTCTTCTAAAGGTCTTTAACTATATTCTGTTAATACAGCATACTGTTGAAAGCTTTTTTACTCCTGAGGTCTTCATAGCAGTAGCTCTTGAAGATGGGTGTTTTGGGGGACACTAGTCAGAAAGGTCAACAATGGGTGGTTTTTAATTTTTTTTTAGTTTTTTGTACAATTTCTTTCTCAAACCTTACAGAAATTGGGCTTGTGCTGAGTCTTTGCCATGCGTCCATTATAATAAATGAGTCACAATATTGATTACTGCAGTTTTCTGCTTACTCTGGATTGGTTTTCCTTGCATTCTTTCATGTTAACATATGTTGCAGTGCAATATATTACTCTTTTCAGTGTTACGGTTTTAACTGATGGAAAAAAAGGAGAAGCTCTGAAGTTAGTTGCACTAGGTCTCACTGGAGCTAATAGCCTTGAGACTTCTGGCAGTTTTTACCTTGCACTGTCATCTCTCTGCTCCTTAAATCTTTTTCAAATTCACTCACACTGTAGGTACAGTGTGGAGATGGGGGGGACAAGGGATTTACTGCAAGCTGTAAGAACTCCTCAGTGGAGATGGGCATATCATCAGTAAGTTGTTTTGGGTGTTTAAGGACGAAGGATAAACTGGATGGCTCTTACAGTCCTGTACACTTGAGAGTGTTGTCTTTCAGTGGGTTACTTTGCAGTGGACTGCACATCTGTGGTCAGCACATGCTGCTCTTGGCTGTAGTGTGGAATCAAATGCTATCAGGATTGAGCAATTGCCCTCAGCAGAAGGCATTATTCTTCCTGTTGCCTGCCTGTGGTTTTTTGAACAGTGTAAGTAGAGGATTGGTGTTCTACTGAGTAAAATTAAATCATTGGTTTTATTTTCTAACACTGTATTTTAAGTCTGTTTCTAAAGTGTCTTTTGGTTTCCTCTGAGTACCCTGCTGCATGCAGAATGTACTATATTCAGCACTGTTGAGGCTACAGCTGGGGCCCTGAATCCAGTTCTGGGGTCCTCAGTACAAGAGAGACATGGACACACTGGAAAGAGCGCAGCAAAGGGTCACAGCAATGATTAAGGGTTTGGAACATCTGTTCTGGGAGGAGAGGCTGAGGGAGCTGGAACTGTTCATCCTGGAGGGGAGAAGATCAGGGGGGTATCATCAGTGTAAATAAATACTTGAGGGCAGGGTAGAAGGTGGGCAGAGCCAGACTCTTCTCAGTGGTGTCCAGGAGTGGGACCAGAGACAGTGAGGCCACAAACTGAGTAACAGAGGTTCCCTCTGAACATCAGGAAACACTTCTTTGCTGTGAGGGTGATTGAACACTGTCATAGGCTACCTGGAGAGGTTATGAGATCTTCCTGGAGATCTTCAAAAGCTGTTGGGACATTGTCCTGGACAACCAGCTCTAGGTGGCCCTGCTTGAGCAGAAGGGTTTGGACCAGCTGACCTCCAGATGTCCCTTCTGACACAACCCCAGCCTTTCTGTGATTCTGTAATAAATATCCTATTTATGTTCTGTGTTAAATGTCAGAACCAGTTTTCTTTTCACCACCTTGGCAGCAGTAGCCAGTGAAATCTCACAACCATTTCCTTAGGTGGGAGAGGGATTTAGCCTTTGTATTTTCCTGAAAGGCCTGCCTCATCCTGATTCTCATGCTAGGAGGAAGATAACTTTAGCCTCTGTCTGAAAGGAGACCTGAGACTTGTTTATGGATGCATCTTAGGCTAATACTGATGTTTCAAGAGAAGGAACACTGGGTATTGACCTCAGGAGTCAGCTGAAGTCTGGAGATCTTTCCCTGCTTGTCCTGAAGCAAACAGAGGCTACCTCATCCAGCAGGCAGAAATTATTTGAATGGCTTTGAGGTTGTTTTTCTCATACCTGCTTTTCACCTGCGGTCTGCAAGAACTGAGGCCAAAGAAGACATGTTTCAATGGAGCAGATTCCTTGTGTCAAACCAGGCAGAAGTTCTGCCCCTGGTTGGAGCAGTTGGTATTTGAGACCTTTTGTCAGGACCTTTTGTGGGGAAGTTGTGGTAGTGATTTGGGCCCTGATGCTATTTAACCATAAGGTCCCAGCAACAGACTTGTCTGACAAGTCCTTTCTGTTTCTAATTGTACCTGTAACATACATTTAGGAGTTAACAGCTCACATAAACAAATCTTCAGTACTCGCTCCAAGAGTTTAAAAAGGGCTGTTAGGCATCAAAGGTGCTACTCTAAGGATAGAGACTTAATTTTTAGATTGAGTCACGAAAACACTGTGCTAACATGCTAAGTAGTGAAGGAACAGCACTATATAATCCCATTTGTTACTTGCAGTTGTGCCATGGAGCCTGGGAAAAAGGTTTTTACAACAGTGCTATCTTTGAAGAAACTCTCTGAGCCTCCTGTCTAGGGTTCTGCCTGCTATCCACCCTCTCTAAAACTAGCCAACAATCTTCTTGTAAGCCAGTGTATACAAAGTTTAATTAGAACATGCCTGAGCAAGAAATGTAGAGCAAGTTGTTGAGTATTCATAACCACTGTTGTGGTTGTGAATAAATAAATACCCTCACTGTAAACCACCCCAGTTTTGAAATCTCACTTGTAGGTCTTCCAGAAAATAACACGCTTCACCTAGCACACCACACGTTCTTTCAAGAACACTGTTGGTGAAGTTGGGGAGTAAATAAGTATCAGAAACTAAGCAGACATTAAGAACTTTCACAGGCAGTTGAGATCAGACAGCTTGCCTTGAGTGCAAGAGTATTTTTTCCAAAACAGATCCCTGACTTCTTGATTTTGATGGTGTTAACCAGTTGAAAAAGTACTTTGTAGGAAAGGCCTTAGAGCCAAAATCCATGTCTCCTGGAAACAAAATATCGCCAATTCAGCAGAGACAAACTAAATGGAAAACTGCAAGTTCCCTAACTCCATTGTTCCTGCTAAGCCATGCCTGTTTTGCACGTGTCACTCCCTTTTTCTCCATCTCATGGACAACTTGGTCACTTTTGTGCTTTATGCCACAGAACCCTCACTCTGTGGGGCACAACTGAAACTGTTTGTAGTTCCCTGATGTGTTTCAGGCTGAAGGATCCATAAAAAGGTGCATAAAAATCTACTCTTGCTGTTCCCTGACAGCTGACCTATTTGATCTAACAAAATACAGTGTTTTTCAACAAGTCTACAGTACTGCTATTATAATTTATCTTCAAAGTGTTCTCGTAAAATACTGAGCTTTTAAGAATCTTTCCACTAAGGAAAATGAGCTGTTAGGCATTATTTTCCTGTTTTGAACCTACACACTGTGTCAATGTGCTTCTGTTTATATTTCCAAACATGAGTAAGGTACAGTAATAATCCATTGTTTTCCCATTTTTAGGTTTCAGTGATTGTCTTTAAATTACTGACCTTTAATACTTGTCAAGCTGTCATTTGAACAGAAGCTACTTTTCTCGTCAAGTAAATGTTAGAAAAAATGTTTTTTAGTGTGCACGACAATTTTATTTACAGTTTTTAATATTTTAATAGTTGGGTTAAGTTCTGTTTTTTCCCTTCATATTTAAAGGAATGCTGTTTTTCCTCGAGTGTAAGGAAACACTGTGAGAAAACAAGTCCCTTAGGGCCAAGAAGGGTTGTTATGCTGGCTGTCTGGATGCCTGGGAGTAAGGTGTTATGGGCATAAAGAGATTTAGGAAGTGGGAAGTGCTTTCCCATTTGCAAGATAGGGCTTGACTTAATTCTTAGATAAAAGTGCAGTCACATGTGTGGATGTTGAATGATTCAGGAGGGGAAAAGAAGGGGATAAAAGAATTATTATGCAAAGAAATTACTCTTTTTGGTCTGCTGGTCAGTTTACTAATAACTTGTATTTAACTAGGTGGTTGAATCCCTTATTTATTATCGGCCATAAACGGAGGCTTGAAGAAGATGACATGTATAAAGTGATGCCAGAAGATTCCTCAGAGAAGCTTGGAGAAGAGTTGCAGTGGTAAGGAGAAAAATTGTAGAATACTTTGGGTTGGAAGGCACAATTGTTCTCTTTTATTATATTAATGCTGGAGGAGGTAAAAATTTTATTTCTATTCTAAAATTAAAAGGTGTTATTGTAAAGTTTAACAAGGTTAAAAATGCTGACAAATTTAGAGCAACAAGAACTAAGAAAACTTGTTTATCATAGAGGCTTTTTAGGTTTTTTCAAGTTATACATAATGGAACTGCATTAGAATAATTCCATTATGTCATTTATAGTTAATTTGACACTTTGCAGAATGCTTGCAAAAGACAACTTTTCATCAACTGTAATTGTAGTAATCCTTAATAAATGTGTGAGTCTTCTGGCCTGTGGTAAAACAGCTGTGGAAACTTCAAATTGCTCTGTATAAAAGTGGAGAAAAAAGTTGTCTATTTTATTTCTTCTTGTTTCTTTGTTTGTTTGTTTAGAGTGCAAACTGAATTAAGTGACCCTTTAAATATCTGTGTATATATAAATATATGTATGTTGAAAATCTGCCACTCACTGGTAGAGTGGGCAAGATGCCTTGGACAGCTAAACATGTGTCTAGGAAGTGGTTTTTTTTTTGCCTTTAAATACTTTTTCATGGGCTTTGTACTGGTGTGTAGTGCTACGGACTCAGGGGATCTATATTTTAGTAGAAAAATATCTTCAGATAATTACTATTTATATAAATTGTCATGAACCTTCCAACAGAGAGGATTTTTGTCTTGAAATAATCTTCTGCTAAATATAGTTAGAGGAGAAGATGCCTCCTAGTGAAAGGTGGCTTCTGTATTAAGAAAGTGTGGCCTTGCTGTTTCTTGCTGTTACACCGAAGGCAGAGCAGATGGACTTTCCTGATAATTTGGTTGGGATGAGAGACTCCTCAGGAAGCAAAAAGAATCCAGAAACTAAAGGTTATGACCAGGTCTGACATCATCCTGCTCTGGATAAGTTAACTGAGGAAAGAGGGTTGGTGATAAGCTCATAGGAGTTGCTGCTTTTAATGTCTTTGTAGCTGGAGAGCTTTGTCAAATTCCATGGTTGTGTCTTCAAGCAGTTTAGGGACTTGGCTATTTGCAGGATGGATTTTTTCCAATGATTTTTTATAGTTAAAGAACGTGCTTGCATGAGTCAGGAAATGGTAGAAGAAAAAAAAAGAGTGGTTTTTAATTCTTCAGTGTACTTGACCAAGAAGTAGGGAATATAATTCATGAATAGCTGCCTACGGAAGTCGTCTTTTCTTTTGAGCCAAGAAACCCCACAGAACCTACATAGTTTCTGTTTTCAAAGCATGTGGACAATAACTCTGTAATTCTTGTAACAAAAAAAGAGGGTAAAAATGAAAAGTGTTCTTATCTGTATGCTTTGAACTTTTGTGCTTTGTTGCAAAATAATTGCCTTTCATGCCTTAGACTCATTTCACCCCTCAAACTATCAAGGTCAGAGGTTTGGCAGAAAACACTTAGCCTTCAGAGGAAAGGGGGAGGTTTCTCTGTGACAGCAGTGTGTTTTAAGAAGTCTGCTTAAGTTGTGATACTTTCTTGTTAAAATCGTGCTTGTAATTGCTGTCTTTGGTTTTTATGTGAACAGATTGTGTCCTGTTTGTGGGCAGACACGTGGTGAAGGAAAGGTCTTTGCCACTCTGCTGATGAATCCTCTCCTTCAGAGAGATGTGTGAAGTGCTGGGTGACAAAATCCTCAGCAAAGCATGTGGTAGAAAAAAGACAGGGCCAGACATGAGAAAGGGTTGGACATCACAACCCCTCTGGGCAAGCACAGGGCATATGGATAGATAAAGACACTGTGCTGCCTCAGTTTAGTCCATGGTCAGGACATCATAGGATAGGAGGCTTTTAATTAAGGTGAGTGGTGACTGTCTGAACTGAGAGAAAAGATACAGGAAGGGTTCCTCATCAGCAAATATGATGATATGGTGATAATAGTCAACAGTGGTGAATTGTTTGTGATTAACCAAGAGCAAATAGGCCTATAATATTAAGTAGCGTTTATGTGACTGAGAAGACATTATTAATTCCTTTTGTTTGATTTGATTTTATTAAGGTGGTCAGGGCTATCTGGCTGTTAGTCTGAAAGTGTTTTATTCTAGGTAATTGCCTTGTGATTTTACTTCTGTCCCCCAACATCTTTTGCACTTTGTTTGTCAGGTACTGGGATAAAGAGGTCCAAAAAGCAAAAAAGAGAGGAAAAACACCACATTTAACAAAAGCCATTATTCTGTGTTACTGGAAATCCTATTTAGTTTTTGGAATTTTCACAATGATTGAGGTAAGTGGTGTAAAATGTCACAGGACCTCCTTCTTGGCGAACAGCAATGTGAAACTTGTCCACTTAGAGTGCATGACATGTACTGGTGATTTCATCCTGGACTGCTCAGAGAACCTGGTAATGTTCTCAGAAAGGTAAAACTGAGCTATAGCCCTGCAGAGACTAAAAAACTGAGTCATGACTGCAGGATTATGGAAGTGGAACAGAGAGCTCATTTCAGTGCATTATTTTTGAGACATTGCAAACCTCTGACTTGCTTTGTAAGGCTTATCTGTATTTTATGTATCTGAGTGGGGTGCCTAATAGAAAGAGGATTTTTTGCTCTTTGTAAGTGGCTCTGAAGGACATATGGCATTTGAAAAAATGGAAGTGTAATACATACTCATGCAATTTTTATAACATCAAAGCGGGTTTTTTGGTAATTGAGAGAGTTCTCCTTGAAGTTCCTGCTAAATTTTAATGTGGAACATGTTTCTTTTGGATTGTGTGTTGATAAAAATTGGCTTGACATTTTAGAGCACAATAAAGACAAAATAATAAGGGATATAGCTTGCAGCAGTACTTGGCTCTTGTTTGCATGTGTACAGACTTGGTTAGCACAGGGTGATAAGAAATGACTAATACTTTTCCCCCTTCTTTCTTTTTCAGGAAACCCTCAAAATAATTCAACCAATTTTTTTGGGGAAAATCATTAATTATTTTGAAAACTATGATGCCTCAGATGAGGTAGCTTTGAATTTTGCATATTGCTATGCTGGTGCTCTGTCTGTGTGCACACTTATTCTGGCTATCATGCACCACTTATACTTCTACCATGTGCAGAGGGCTGGCATGAAGCTGAGGGTGGCCATGTGTCACATGATTTATCGGAAGGTAAGCAAACCTGTTCACAGCTGTATTTTGTATTTGACTGCTGTTCTCTCAGGGGAGTTTAAAAATGCAGTATGGAGGGGCTTGACAGCTGGCCTGCAAGCAAAGCTGAGTTAGTAGAAGAAATAACAATTGATGATTTTCGAGTGTATCCATAGCAAAGAAGAAGACGAGGCCGTCAGCGTTGAAACAGATTAGAAAAGATACATGAAAATTTTTGTAAGCTAGACTATGTGCATAAGTAGATGTGTATATGTACCTTATTAAATTTCTGTAAACTTTTTGCCAGTTATATTAACATTAATTGCTTTGCACCAATGAATATGATAAGTTATTGTGATGTAGTTAATGACTTAAGATCATGCTTTGTTAAGAGTATATAAGCTAGAAAACATGCAAAATAAAAACTTTTTTCTTCTTAGACCCTAATCACATGTGTATGTGTCACGTCCAACCTAACAGTGACAATACAGTTATTTGTTATGCCCGTGATTGCAATTCCATTGAAGTTACTCATTAATAGAGACCTAATGCATGTGGAATGTGTCAGGCCTTAGATGTGTGCATGTGGCTTTGCTTTCTCTTTGGTACTGAGGTGTCTGAATGACAGCTTCAGGCCTGCTTAGTGAAGGTGGTGAGTTAAATAGCCCTTAAAGCCTTGGAAGAGCTTCTTTTTTTTGCCTCCTGCTGCTGTTGGAGAGGGACAGAGCTCCCAGGGAATGCTGGCAACTACTCAGCCTTGCAGCTTTACCCCAGGGGAGGACGTGGTGCTTGGATGTCACCATCTGCTGCAGCACTCTCAGTCTCCTGGGAATTGCTTTGCTGTCTAGATTTCCCCCCACCCCTGTTGTAGTTAATGGTGGGATTTATTAATATTTTATCCCATCAGTGATGTAGAACTAGTAGGTTGTCTTCTTTGCAGATCAGAGGCTGATCCCTTCCCTTGGGGCATCCATCAGGTTCCCTTGGGGAGTGGCAGCAGTTCTGTGGAACTGCTCCTTCCCCCTCCAGGCAGGCAGGGATGCTTGGCATCTTCACCTTTATCCCTCCTGTTTAAGGGGGAAGAGAGAGAGGAGCAGGCAGAGAAACACAGTTCAGAATCAAGTGGAATTCTAAAGGCAGGGAGTTAGTTTTTTATTACCATTTACTGGTTTTATTTGGAGTACTGCAGCCCTCCACTGAAACTAGTGAAATGTGAGAAGGGATGTGTGTTCAGGGAGCTGTGGTTTCTTTGCTGTCTCTGTGTCCTGATCAAGAAATAGCTGTCCTGAGCTACAGATGGAGTTGAGGCTGCTGTCAGAAGGAAAGTGGAGCAAGAAAAGTTGAGTTTTACTTACAGGAAGGAGCTGAGCAACATCCAGGACAAGATGCTTTTCCCAGTTGAAAATGTCTGCTTCACTTTTCTGAAGCTGTTGGCAATACCCAAACTGTGAGCCTGTCTGCTTCCAAGCAAGAAATCTCTGCTGAGAATGCTGGAAGGGAAAATGCCCCATCTTTCTATTTTCAGTGCTGCTGGAATAGTGACCTACAATTTCAGACCTCAGCAAAGAAGTTTAATTGAAGAATCAGGATTGCACAGTTGCTTTGGAATGTAAAAAAATCCACATTATTTTAACCATCAAACGTAGGTGCCATCAACTTAACACGAGCATTTATACTACTGGTGTAGGTCATGTGAAGTTTTTGGACAAAGCAGTAAAATGAGGAGAGTAAAAATGTCCCCATTTTAAGTGGTGATTACTTTTCATACACACATTTGTTCTCTTCCTCTTTTGATACCTTGAAAAGGATCCTCTGGGAATTTGGCTCTAACATGGCACAATACTTTCTTGTACATAAACATCTCTCTAAGGTATTAATTTACCAAACTGATTATCGAAACGGAATTAATGGAAAATGGATATAGTGATGGTGTTTGTTGCTGAGTTGATACTGGCTTAGAAGCTTGGAAAAGAACTATTTCTAATATGCACCCTTATTTCTAGAGATGGGATTAAATGGAAAATTAATCAGCCCTCATTTTTACTTCTGAGGATGAGGGTTGAGGTAACAGCAGAACATTGAAAAAACTTTCTAATAATTTGTCTTCATTATGTTCTGCTTATAAATAGTTCATATTTTCTCTTTAACCTCATATAGGCTTTTGAAAGAAACTTGGCTGTTTATTTACCAGCACTTTAGCAGAGTTTGTTAATTGCTGTAGAAAATAAAATCTTTGATTTGTAAGGATAAATAGATTGGATGCAAGAGCATTCTTAATAGAGAACTTCAAATGTTCAAAATTCTTAAGTTTTAGACCCTTTTTCATTTCCTGGAAAGCTCAGATCTAATTTGCAAAATCCCTGTATTCAAACACTTTAGAAGTGTTGTTACCAGTAAGAAGTATTAGTGATGCACATGGAAAACTCCTAACAAAAATGAAAGTGAAATCTGGCACATGATGACTCAGAGTCTTACGTTTTGAAATCAAAGGCTACTTTTGGGAAACTGGTTTTTGTTGGCTTTATTTTTTAAGACTTAGCTTTTAGAAGTTCTTTGAGGTCAATGTACTGACTTTAGCTGGGATGGAATTAGTTTTTCTCAGCTCATATGGGGCTATGTATCAGATGTAGTAAAAAAGAGGAAGAGACTTTTTGGTAAAAAATTGGTTATGGAAGTAAAACTGCTACTTTGCAGTCAAGACAGATCCATTCAGCCAGGAAAATGCAAGACTTTTTTTACTTAAAAAAGAAAGAAAAAAATAAAAAAAAGAGAGAATGAAGGAAATGCTAAAACTGCATTGCCACTGATTATGGGAATGGCTGCCTCTTCCCTGAGAAGACAAATCAGTCACAGATGAGCAGCCTCCTTTTGGCTCAGATGCTAGTGTGGTTCCTCCTGGGACTGCCTCAGTCAAAATGAGCTGGACTCACAGAATCATATTAAAATTGGTTTTGCTGCTCGTGTAGGAAGAAGTCAGGAAGGTGCTTGTGTGGGAGGTCCAAGACAGACCCAGGCCATGGGCCACTAGCAGGACCCTAGCGTGGTCTTCTGATGGTTCAGGTGAACATCAAACAGCAAATATGTTGTACAAGAGGTGCTGTGAACACATCCTGATGGGAAACTTCCCCAAACATGCATCATGTGAACTCCTATTACTATGATCTGTGGATTTCTAACATCTTTTCTCAGAGCTTACCAATATTAATGTGTGGTGTGGAGCAAACATGATAGCAGCAGGCAGCTACCTGGGGGCTTTCAGGTGAATGAGAGACAGGTGGCTTAAGACAGGGAATGAAGCAATAATTTTCTCAAATAATTAAATCTGGTCTTTCATATACCTAGTATCCTAGATTTATTTTTTGGAATGTCAGAGGAATTTCACAGTGGAGTTTTAAAGGCTTCTGCCTTTAAGTGTTTCTGCTGGTTTCAATGAAGTTAGGGTTGGGATTCTCTCTGTGATTAACAATGTCTTTCTAACACAAACGTGAGGTGCAATAAATGCAAGGAGCCTTGTTTGAAATTATGCTTTGAATAGTACTTTGATGGCTGATGTTCTTCTACTTGTTTCAAAATACTGGAACAGTATTTGTGAAACAATCAGCGCTTTTCAGGTTTGATTATTGGTCAAAAAGCAACCCTAATAATGTTTGGAGAGGGAGGAGGAGATGTGAGCTGCTTAAAAATGTGAAGTGTTTTTGAGGAGTGAACTATTTCTGTACGGAAAAATATGTAACATGCTTTGTATATTTTTTCAAACTTGTGCTGCAAACTTGTGTTTTCTCTTTAGCCAGGTGTAGGAGGAAGCAGGGTATATTATTGGTATTTTAGAGCAATTTCAGTTTGGACCTTTACAATAAGGTTCAGACTGCATATTTCCAGATGGGATTTTTTGGAAGGGGGGTGGTATTTTATAAACACATTTTTTTTCTATTGACTAACTTTTTTACTAATGTGTAAAAATGCTTGATATTTACTCTTGTTGTTTTTTCATAGCATGTGCTAAACTTCATTTCACATAATTCAGGAAAGTTATGATTTTTCTATAGTTTGTAAAGGGACACACTGATTTGCAAAGATAGTCTGAAATTAATAACTTGAGGGGTTTTTGCCTTCTGTCTGATAACATGTTCAAAACGGAATTGTTTCAATTGGCCAAACACTGTTCTGACTTTAATCTGGCCTTCAGGTGGAGTTTTCTGTTCCTGTTTTGTACAGACGCTCATAGTGAGGGGGAGAACAATGCACATGGAAAGTTACAGCTCTTTTGCTTAGTGGCTTGCTGTTTTGATATTTTCCTATTTTTAATCCCTTCAGACATGAAGATAGGGCATTTTTATTTTCACAGTCCTTCCATTGACTTTTTTTTTTATATACTTTTTTCCTTTGGGACTTTATTTAGGATATTTAGTCTAATTTTCATTTTATTTAAGGCTCCAATGCTCTCAGGCAAAAGATATGTGCCTTCAACTTTAACTATGGTACTGTATTCATGTATCTTGTGTGTATAGGTGTACTGTGCTCTACAAGCTGTGATAATTTGAACTGTTCTGACTTTTTTAGGCACTTCGTCTCAGTAATGTAGCTATGGCAAAAACTACCACTGGTCAGATAGTAAACCTGCTGTCAAACGATGTCAACAAATTTGATCAAGTAAGGAGTGTTTTACAGATCTTTCCAAGGGGGCTGAAGAAATTGTGGGGTTGGAGTCAATGAAGTTTTGTTTAAAACTGGTGATTAAATGTTTCTAATGAACATTTCTTCTAGATGTTTCTTAAACATAGAATGTTTTGTATTGGAAGGGACCTTAAAGATTGTCTTGTTCCAGCTCCCTGCCGTGGGTAGAGGCACCTTCCAACAAGCAGGTTGCTCATAGCCCCATCCAACCTGGCCTTTCCACAGGCAGAAGTACTTCCTAAATGTTACTAGGGGTTTAATTTGTTAGCTAAGATCAAAAGTTAATTTTTGATTCTTAACTATTTGTTTAGGTAACAATTTTCTTGCACTTCTTGTGGGCTGGACCACTTCAAGCTATAGCAGTAACAGTACTTCTCTGGATGGAAATAGGCCCATCATGTCTTGCAGGAATGGCAGTTCTGATTATTCTTCTTCCTGTGCAGACCTGCATTGGGAGGCTTTTCTCTTCCCTCAGGTAAGGCTGCATGTTTTTGGTTGTAGCTGTTTTCTGTGCTGGGTTTTAAAATGTGTATATTGGGTGGAGGCAGAGTATCAGCATATGTCTGGTGATATTTTTTGCAGTGTCTCTTATCTTTGCCCATGTTTTTTAGAGCTGCTAATGTGAGATATCTGAATTCCAGATTATGGACTTGAAGTGGTCTGTCATCCAACCATGTTGAAAATATCTGCTATTTATTATCCAGTGCATGAAATGAGTCTGGCTATTTCTGTAGCTACCTCGCTGTAGATCATGGCACAGAATTGTGGAACCTGAGCTTTGCCTTCCTGCAGGAATTCTTGGGGAGTGGTTACTCCACAGGGGATGTAGTCAGCCCTTCTCTGTGTGACTTACTGGGGTGACACAGGTGTTGCAGCAGAAGGCTCTGCAAGTTTCTTGTTCAAAGGTCTTGCTCTCTCTCCTCCATGACTAAGATGCAGAGAGAAAAAACGAGGAAGGAACTGAGAGAGAAGGGAAGAAAAATTTATTATGGTGGTTTTGATGCCAGCTATGAGGTTTCCAGCTGCAAGGTTCTAGGCTGTGGAGATAAGAGTTTGGAGTAATTTTCCACTGTCAGACAAATTTAATTTTTCTGTAACTTTATCCTAAAAACCCCAGCAAGATTTGCCTCTATTGGGATTGTTGAGGCAAGTTCTTTTGCATCTAGGTTTTCTGTTTCTTGTGTAATTAGTCACGCTTGACTTACATTATGACTTTATAAAAGGCTTTTACACTTAATTGGAAATATTTTTGTGTTCCTTTACTCTGTACACATATGCTTAGGAGTGCCAGGCATCTTTCTTTGCATCTTTTTGTTGAATGGGTTCCTTTTAGCTCTTTGGGTAAGTAAAATTTCTGTGAGTGAGTTACTGGTTTGTTTTTTTTTTTCAAGTTGTATTTCAAGACAAATTTTCTAGGTATACTGAGCCTGGCATTGCCATTGCATGGCCAGGTATGAAGAGAGAGATGAGAATTAAAAATGAAAACAACTTGTAGACCTCTTCATTTGTAACCAGTGTGGTAGTCTTCAGTCATTACATTCATGTGCTGTTTCTCAAATAATGATCCATTCAGAGTTCTCTGTCAAATTCTAAGGACTTTTCTTTTTATGATAAAGCCTGGTTGTAGAACACTCACTATATGTTCTTAGGTATGTATTTTCACTGCATGTGCAATATGCATGCAGCAGTATCAAGCTGCTTCATTGCTGTTTTTCATTAGTTCTAAGTTTTTGAGGTTTGAGTCAATAATTAAAATACCTAGTGCTTTATCTGTGGTGGCAGGCTTTAGTATCCCCATTTTACAGATGGGAAACTGAGGCATAAAGAGATTAATGGACTTTTCCAGGATCAGACAAGAGGGTGACAAAAATCTCTTTCTTGAAGGTATGTATTTAAAAAAATAATCAGTGGCAATGTAACAGTGTTTGGGTTTTTTTACCCATTCAGTTACAGCCACTTGTTTGGATGCAGTGCAAAGGAAAGAATTTTTTAACCAGAAAAGCTTCTGCTCCTCTCCATGTGCACAGATCTTTCTCTCTGTGAACAGAAATGTGCAATGAACAGAAGGAGTTAATGGTAAAACTGAATAGATTTTAGCTCTGAGTGAGCTGATGAGTGTGTTCACCTGGCATTTGCTGGGAATCTGCATGGATTTAAGGAAGGCAGCCTATGAAGAAGTAATTTAAGGATTAAAGCTTTTGCTAAAATCCAAGCATGCTCGGTGTGGCAGTTAATTTGTGCTATTATTCAGCGTTGTTCTGTGACTCAGTCGTGTAAACACACACGAACACCAGTTCATGGTGCAGCCTCTGGCCTCAGTGCTCTGGGAGTTTGCAGATATGGATTTGGTATCCACTGCACTCTGCAGGATTGCTTTTACTTGCACAAGTACGAGAAGTTGGTGCAAAATACACATGACCCAATATATTATTTGAGAAACAGTTGAGTTATTGGACTGAAGACCATTTTATATGTATTTTATTCACAAGAGCTGGATGCTTTCATTGCTTAGTCATGCAACTGTAGTATTTTTATTTAAAGTCCTTTTTTTTGAAGATAAAAACTGTGTCTAACTGCTGTGTCAGACATAATTAAAACCCACCAAATATGCCTTGTGAAAGCAAAAAGGAATTTTGTAGCTACATTAATTTAGAATGGTTTTTAGTATCATAGAGGGGTCTTCTCAGACAAAAATTTTCAGGTCCTTTCTTACTGCACTTTCTTATTGACATGCTATGTGAGCTTGTATTGGACTGATCTGTTTGTACTCTGAACTTAATATTTTTGAAACCAGGGACATGTCTTTCTCTGCAGTAATTTACCATCAATGCAGTGGTTGTCTGTATATTTGAAGCCATTATACAACATCACTGAGCCTGTGGCTTCTGGTATGTATGTACAAAATATACTTATTGCAAAGTAGGGGAGTGTAACTTGAAAAATTTTTTTAAAGGACCACTCCCCCAGCCTCCTGAGCATTTTAAAGCAATTTGAAACAGGATGGTTACTATGATGACATTTCAGCAGGAAAACTGAAAAATTTGTTTATGAGAATTACAGCCTTTTTTGAGTCTCACCATTATAAAAAAAGAAACCTCTGTTAACTTTATTATTTTATCTATCATCTTCAACTTTCTATTATGTGGAGACAAAGCCTGGAAGTTAAGTTCATGATTGTAGGTGAGAGTTGTTTGCTGCTGCGGAGCCACGAGCAACAGATGCTTTTCCAGTGGTGGTGGGTGTATGGGGAAGAAATGATGAGCTATTACATGATTGAAGCAATTGTTTTTCTGTTACTGTTTCTTTTTGAAAAAGGGGAAGGATGAAGTAGCAAAGATAATCTCATTCCATGTTGATGTGGTTAGTTTAGTCTAAGTTATTTTCCTCAGTGTTATTAAGAATCTATGATTACACCAGGGCTAAGTTTCTAAATGCCTTTTGTTAGTTCCCTTGTATAAATATTTTTTAATACCCTGCTTCAGCCATCCTAACATTTTTGGAACGCTGGTGCTGAGAAGTTTTTTGAAATGACGAGTAGGTGCTTGAAATTCTTTGAAGTTGTGTTCTTTAATTATGGTGATTTCTTCCTGTGTATCACAGAGATCTTTCAGGGGACAGGTTAAGCTGAGAAAGCCTGCTAAAAAGTCATACCTTCTAAAAAGATTTGAATTTTTATTAGTGATCTCTGAATCTTAACTTTCATTGTTATATGGAAAAATAAGTAATTTAGCAGGTAAAGGTATGTTTTATCAAAATAAGGTCTACCATAGCTCTCCATGTGCAAAGTGTTTGTCTACATCAATGAATTCAGAATTGTAATGGGATCTATTAGCATGATTTATGCATTTATTATGTGGCTTCTAACTTTCAATGGTTTTTTCCTAATTAAAACTGTGACTTTATTATTTAATTATATATATTTTTCATTTTTTCCATCAGTGCAAACATAGTGTGGAACTAAAATAGATATATTTAAATTAGTGTTAATTACAATTAATGATTAAATAATTTTTTTAAAGAAACCATATCTAGATTATCTAATGAATTATGGCTCATGTGCTAAGTAGTCTCTGCTTCAACTCCAGTTAATCCTAAAAAGTCACAAATGAGGCCAATTTCTTTACCAACATCAGGAGAACTTTATAGCAAGTCTGGTTGTTTTGGTATTTTGAAATCTTTTTAAAGTAATTTTCTGATTTTTGTTTAGTTCTAAATGCAATAAACAACAGATATGTTGTTTAAGGAGTACTGCATGTTTGCACAAACTGACATATAGTCCTGAACATTGAATCAGCTCTCAGTTCCCTGAGAAGCAGGAATACAAACATACCAAGTGTGTCTGCTGTGTGTCAGCTTTAAGATGCTGATTTTCAGGAAAACCCTTTAATGCAATTACAGTTTTGTGAATCGTCTTTACAAATAAAAGCAAAGACTTCATACATATGTTATGTGTTCATAAATAGTCTTCTTTAGGGAATCTAAGGATTTTTCCTTTGTCCTATTTTCAGAAGCAAGACAGCTGCCTTAACAGATGTCAGGATTAGGACCATGAATGAAGTGATAAGCGGTATGAAGATAATAAAGATGTACGCTTGGGAAAAATCATTTGCGGAACTTGTGAATGGTTTAAGAAGGTAATCCTGGAAAGATACAGCTTGATGTATGATCAGTGTCATTTTCCATTTTTTACATGTGAATAAGTGTTTTATTTTGTGCTTTAAAATGCAGTTTGCATGCAGTTTTTGAGCTTTTTTTTTAATTTTTATATAGCAACAGTGGAGGAATGAAGATACATTTTAAGGGAATAAAAAATTTAAAAATCCTCAAAACTTCAATACTTCAGGCTTTTTTATGCTTCTTTTAACACTCGTGTTAAAAATGAGCAACTAATAAGCTGTAGCAGTTGTAATGCAGCAATTTTACCCTCCTTTTATGCACTTTATTACTCAAGCCACCTGGGAAAGGTAGAAGGGAGAAAGACAGCGGGTCAGAAATTCCGTGGTTACTCAACTAGCAAGGCCAGCTGAGTTTGGTATCCTGAGACAGTTCATTTCAGAGGTTCTTTGACATCAGATTAAAACATACTAATACATTTGATTTTCAGTCAGTATTTGCCCTTTTTCTTGACACTGTAACAGCATTCAGTACTAAAGGTTAACTGTAGGAGTTTGGGTGCATATTTCTGATTTTCATGTCATGTACCCCTCCAGCATATGAGTAGAAGGTTGGTATTCTGCTGCAGATTATCTGACTTTTTTAGTTTTAAATGTTTAATTTTGGAAATCCTTTTCTTGAAAGGAATTTTTTTGCTTTACATCCATGTGCAGGCTTGCAAACTTGCAAATGTTCCCTGAGATGTTCCTTCCCATGCACATAATTGCTTTCCTCTGTTGGATTATAGGATCCTGTGCTGATTGAATGTTCATGACTGATGGGAAGCTTTAGTGTCTTGCATGGAGCCAGAAAGAATATTTCTTTATTGAAAGCTTCCTCAGTGGGTTATATTCACATCACTAAATTTTAGATTTCCAAATTCAACACCTCATTAGGATTAGAGGCTTCCTTTTTAATGTTGGAAAGAAATGAGATCTTTTAGAACACACCTTGAGCCTTCTTTCCTTTCTTGAGCTGTGTTGTGGAAAACTGTAATTAAAACTCTTAAATTTAGCCAGATGCTTTATTGTCCAGTATTTCCACATTGGCCTTTAACAGTGGCTGAGATGTCATCTGAACTGCTCCATTGCTCTTTTTTCCTTGTGTCTGTCTGTATTAGTTTCCTGTTATGCAAGTTTGTGCTTCAAGACAGTGTAATATATTATATGCAGCCTGCAGCTAGGTTGCAATTTATCTGGTATTTATGGAGAGTAGCACAAAAAACTTGCCGATTATCCACAGATAATGAGAGGATTATTAAGGATTATTAAAGGGTGGGAAAAGAATTTCATCCAGGGTTGTAGAAGTAATTGAATTAGACCCAATTCAAATAGTTTACATACAAATGTTCCTTCTCTGTACTCTGGAGGAGATTAGAGATGGTGAACCCTTAAGCTGAAAAAAGAAGTCTTTGAAACTCTTTAAAAGTCTGTCAGTTCAGCCAATTTGGCAAATATAGTGGGAAAGTTGCTTAACTAGTTTTCCAGTAGTGCATCCTGCATCTTTTTCTTCTTTAAGTGGTGACTTAATTTACTTCAAATTGTATAATCACAACTTGAGCTTCTAATCTTAATGTATAGGTCCAAGTGGAAGGTGATCAAAATTATTAAGATTTTCCCTAAGAATTGCCAGAATATGTGGAAAGAGAAATTAGGAATTGTTTTGGAATTTTATATTTGATAGTATTAAGTAGACAAAAAGTAGAATATATGGAGAAGGAGTAAGTTGTTTTGGCTGTCTTGATAAAGAAAAATGATTATATTAATAAGGAGGCAAGCCCGATAGCATCCACATTGTAGTAGATGATAGTGCAGTAACATTTTGAGGATTGAACTTGTTGGGTCATTTAGAAGTGGAAACTGCAATTAAATGAAATGGAAATTGAGAACAAATGCATCAGCACCTTTTGAGTTGCTGGAGGGAGACTTTTGTCTCTGTGCAGTACTTCAGTAACTATTTAGCTTGGGCAATGACTGGCAGAACAGTCACTGGCCTCACAGTTCAGTGTTTTCTTAATTTATGAACCAGAATTCCTTGAGCAAAAGAAGCCAGGAGCAGAGTCCAAATTGGGAAGGATTTAGACTGAGATGAAAGGAAATACTCTAAATCCTGTGATATAGCTTGAGGAGCAGCAGCTGAATAATGGCAGATACTTGGGCCATGGGCAAACTCTTGATCTTCTGGAAGTTGCCCTGGTTTTTTCGACTGCAGAGTATGTGTTGGTCTTGTCATGAGTTTTGTGACTGAACTCCAGTGGATTTTGATATTGGAAGGATAAGGAGTTTGTGGGTTCTTGTGGGTGTTTGTGGTTGCTTTATACAGTTTTTTTCTCCTCTTTGCTATTGCATCCAGCCCAAAAATATTTGAAGCAGATTCGAATCTGAATTTAAATACTAGTTTGAATAGAGAAGAAAAAAAATAGTACGTTAGTTTTCTGACTCTGAAAAATAATTTTTTCTATAGCTATTAAGATATTAAATAAAATGAATTTCTCCTTTGAATTTCCAAGCCTCTTAAATTCTGGTTGATTTTTTGGGTTTTTTTTTGTGGGTTTTTTAGGTTTGTTTATTTGGTTTTGGTTTTGTTTTGTTATTTACCATATAACATGTTTTCTTCACCGTTGTTTGCATATGAGTTGGGGTGGTGCAAGGGCAGGAGAAAGGATGTGAAAATAGAATCCTGATGGGGGGTTTCCCTCATCCTGTTGTTGAGAGTAGCAGTAATGGGAGAGATTGATGTGATTTGTTTATGTTCTGCATTTTTAGGAAGGAGATTGCCATGGTTATGAAAAGCTCTTACCTTCGAGGACTGAACTTAGCCTCGTTCTTTGTGGCAAGCAAAATTACAGTGTTCATGACTTTCTTGGCATATGTACTGCTTGGGAATGTCATCTCTGCAAGCAGGGTGTTTGTGGCAGTGTCCCTGTATGGAGCAGTGAGACTCACAGTGACCCTGTTCTTCCCTTCGGCCGTGGAGAGAGTGTCCGAGTCGGTGATCAGCATCCGGCGGATCAAGGTAGCTTTACTGACTGGGAGGGGGTCTGCATTCCTTCTCTTACTCTACCTTTGTTCCTTCTCTTACTCTGCCTTTGTCTCTTACTCTATGTTTGTCACTGACAAATGCAGCCTTATTATGGTTTTGCAGTTTGGGATCTGTAATGAAATAACCTGTTTTGGAAAAGGAATGTGTCTCTGCCTAGGAAGGATGTTGAGATGCTTGAGCGCTTCCAGAGGAGGGCAACTAGGTTGGTGAGGGGTTTGGAGCACAAGTCCTATGAGGAATGGCTGAGGGAGCTGGGTGTGTTTAGCCTGGAGAAAAGGAGACTCAGAGGTGACCTTATCACTCTCTGCAACTTCCTGAAAGGTGGTTGTAGTCAGGTGGGGTTGGTCTCTTTCTCCAGGCAGCAGCTGACAGAACCAGAGGACACAGTCTCAAGTTGCATCAAGGGAAATATAGGTTGGATATTAGGAAAAAGTTTTTTACAGAAAGGGTGAGGAAGTTCTGGAATGGTCTGGCTGGGGAGGTGGTGGAGTCACCATCCCTGGATGTGTTTAAGAAAAGACTGGATGTGGCACTCAGTGCCATGGTTTAGTTGAGGTGTTAGGGCATGGGTTGGACTCGATGATCTTGAAGGTCTCTTCCAGCCTTGTCATTCTGTGAATTCTGTGAATTTTGTATGCAGGTACAAAAAACATGATACGCACTGTAGAGTTGGCTGAGAGGTAGGAGAAAAGTATTCATGGCAAAGAGGTGTTGTAGACATTTCTGAAGTGAGAGGAACATGTGTACAGGTATGCAGGCATGTTGGGATTGGGGTTTGAAGAGCAAAGCAGGCTGGTGGGAGCTATAGGATTCATATTTCACGCTGCAGTACCCTGTGATCTGTGGAGGATAGGTGTGAACCCTAGCTTCTCTCTTGTGGCTGCTTTCAGTGCTGGAGTGAAGACTCAAATGAAGTAAGAATGAGCATTGGTAGTGCTGATGCTGGTCTAACAGAGCCAGCATCATGTTCTGATGCTCTTTGGTGTTAACAGGAGTGTGTTTTACACCTTGGACCACTGTTAAAATGCTTGGCTTCTCACTGCACTCCATAACAATGCCCACCAGCTGGAGTCTGAGCAGTACCTCTGTGCCTGGAAAAGCCTAGCAGTAATCTCCCTGTGCTCCCATGGCTCCTGACATCCTCCTCCTGCTCCCTCTTAGTTACTGCTTTCTGTAAGTCTTCAGCAGCTACCTCACATCTGCAAACTCTTAGCTGAGCACTTGTTAACTAGTCTTGGCTTCTATGATCAAGACGTTCCTTCTCTTCCCAAAAGATTGTGTGCTGCTGCCTATTTAAGGTCCTTAGACTCCATGAGTCAAAGGATAAAAGAAATTTTTTTTTAGGTTTTGTCATAAAACTGTGGCAGCTGTTAGCCTTAAAAGTTTTCTGTGGAAATAGCCCCTTTCCTTTCTAAATGTGTTTGGGCTATTGAAAATCCAGCATCAGGCAGGGTGTGGCAGAAGTGTGGCTATGGTACAAAGTGTGTGCTTATGCAAATTGAAGGAAGAGTTTGCTGACTGGGATGTAATGTAGAACAGAAGTGCAGTAGGGAAAGTGAAGTGAGCCAGCTTTGCAGATGTAAGCAAGTTTCTCTTTTTGTTCATGTCCTGGACTTTAAAATGAGGAAGTATTCAGAGAGTGTTCTGTCTTCTATTGGCCACTTGCAGAATGCTTAATAGAGACAATGGACAGCTGCTTACTGCATCCTTGTTATTCTTCCAATGAAATAACAGAAGCCTTTGCCAGCAGTGGAATGAGAATGTGTTGCAGTGAGGGTTTGACCTCTTCTGCATGGAAAGAGGGAGGTAAACAATTTAAAAAGTTGTTAGTAATTCAGGGAAAAGACAGGACAGGTTCTTTAGATCCATTTCTTTCTGGAATTCTTTATTGAGCAGGTGGTTGTTAGAGTCCTCTTCTATGAAGTCTGCACATCTGGAGGTTTTTAGGGAGGGAGAGGTAGCTAGTTAAATGTACACTGTTAAAGTTGTGCATTGCCTTGGAAATGCAATTCTTTGATCAGTTTGTGGTTTTTTTTTCCAACCCATAAATAATGTTGTGTATGCTGCCTTCAAAAAATGTGTTCCTTTCCCATTCTCAGTCTCACTTTAGGCAATATCCTCTGCTTTTCTTTTATTGCAGAACTTTCTGATGCTTGATGAGGTCTCACACTTCCAGCCACAACTGCATGGCAGTAATGAAAATATCATTCTTCATGTTCAAGATTTGACTTGCTTTTGGGATAAGGTAAATTTACTTGCATGTTCAATATATTGGTGCTGTCAGCATTTGAAGTCCAAAATGCAGTGTGGGTATGTATAGTGTGCTGATACTTTGTATTCCATCCTTTGTGTTTGAGAATCCTTTCAGTATGTTGAGCTAACTCCGGAATAGTACTGAAGACTATCAAGTGCATCTTAAAAGCAGCTATTTCTCAATACTATACTAAATAAAAAGCTTTGTGTTTCTCAGGGAAAATATCTCTTTTTTATTAAGGAGCACTGTATTGTGGCTGAGGTACTTAAATTGTAATTAAGGACAGATAGCACAGCAAGGTTGGCCTTATTGTGTGGGGTTTTTTTCTGTAACTGAATGCTTGATCAGTCCATTAGTCTAGAACCAGTACAATATTATACTTGTCACAACAGGTTTGAAAGCTTTAGAGACGAGTCAGCACATATTTATTGCTCTGTATTTTGAGACTGTTCAACTGCACATTTTTTCTACCTAAAATGCACCAAACTCACCAAAATGGCTAGAAAAAGGGACAATACATGTGATAAATTTATTATATATATATACATGTGATAAATTTATTATATATTTCTTTTATGAAATAAAGGCAAGGGTTGACTGTTTCTGTTTTAAAAGTCTAATTGCTATGGTAAGCAGCAATTTGTGAGGAACTGTTGGTGCTATTGCAGCCTGGTAGTATCCTCACACAGGAGAGACTTCAGTCTCCATTAGAAGTGCTGGAAGCTCTAAAAATTATAAATGGATCAGGATACTGGCATTACTTTTGCATATAAATGTAATACAAATAAGACATCACGTATTTCACTTTCTAAGTCCTGTTCCCCTACCTGTGCTGTGTCCCAAGGAAAATCAGGTGTGAAAACATATGAGGTGAGGATCTATGTACTTGTAGCTACATAGCTGCAAAAGAAGATTACTATTTTATTCTGCTTTACTTTCTCAGACTTCTCTGTGGCATCAATATTTCTGAGGCATTGATCAAGCTTTTAAAAATTAATAGATATGAAAGAGTTGATTGTGAATACATTCTAATGCAAAATGCAGTGTATTGCTTAATCTTTGTTTTCTTCTCAAACTGACTTTGGTACCACCATTAAGAATTTACAGGAAATGGTTGCATAAAGTGCCCATAAACCACTGTTTTTTTTCTCATTAGTTGTTTATATTGCATAAAGCAGGGTAGCATGACTGGAATTACTGATTTCCTTTCAGTTAAAACCAAAACCCGAACCAAGCCATCCACAAAACTGTTAATGTAACTTCCATTTTGATATTTAATTGCAGCGTGCTTGGGAGAAGAGCATTTCCCTCAGAACTGTTAAGATTTGCTTTGAAAGTTTCTACTATATACTGTTAAAATGATGCAAAATAATTGTATAGACTTGCTCACTGAAAAAAAGTGCTAAGTTCTGATAGAGACAAGTTATGAAAAGAATAATATAAATATGTATCCTTTGTCAAGCAGTAGGCTTAGCTTGCTACCCTAAGTTTCTCAAGACACTTTGGATGTCTGTACAGACACTCTACAGCAGAATAATGTTTTTTTATTTTTTAGCGATTGTGTGCCAAAAGCGATGCTAAAAACACCAACCAAGAAGCAACCCATGAATCCAAAATCACTTGATGTGAAAAAGGAATTATTAGCTACACTTTTAGGAAAACAGCCTAACATGGTGTATTACAGTTTCTCAAAAGATAAACAAAACAAATTAATTCCTGGTCACACTCTTGTTTTACTGAGGCAAGTAATTATCTGAGTACCACAGGCTAGTCTGATACCAGCATGGAACTAGTGATTCTTCAGTACAGCTTTTTACTGATGTTCCTTGAATTTACAGAACAGTGTGTCAGCTCAACTGAGCAACTTCAGATTTAAAACTTCAGCATTTGAGCAGAGGCCACATTTATCCCTTGTAATTTTAGTCCTTACATGAGAAGCCTAAGTAGTATAGTGCTTTCATGCAATATATGATCTCTGTGTCCCTTTGGTGGGCAGAACTATTTCATTTTCTTGTGTGTAGGATGTATAAGGTCTGCCCAAGCTCACCTAAGGAGTTGCTCCTCTGAAGGGATCATTCTTGTGTCCTCTTGTCCTTGCATTCTCTGTCTGTTCCCTCCCTTGTGCTGGTTGTTAATGCTGCTTTGTATGACCTTGTGGTGAAGCAGCTTGCAGGGATAAAGCAATAGAAAATGAATCACTTTTAATGAGATCAGTTTTCTGATAGCTGAGTCCCATAAACAACACATGCAAGGTTAGGCAGAAGGAGGAAAGTTAGAGACACAGCAAGCTGACAGGGCACAGGGGGGAGCTGGGACATTTCTGATAATGAGCTGCCAGGTGTACTTAGCTGCAATATTAGTCTGTGCTCTAATTTAAGTGCCTCAGTTTAGTGCCTAAAAATAGGTGTGGTGAATTCAGGACAAATTGTCTTTAATTATAAGGAATGCTCTTTTGGAAAAATACCATGTTTCTTAGTTGTGTGTGGCTGTGCTGTTTGCTTGAATTACTACTTTTGTGTAGGCTGTATGATAAATTCCAACTGCTTTAATGTATAGTACAGCAGTAATAGTTTAAAAACTTTAAAAAAATCTTTCTGTAATGTTTTTTGGCCCTTACGTTATATTTTCTTAAGTTTTTGATGTGGGTGGAAATGTCTTTGCACTTCTGTGAGTACAGAAGAACAACCTCAAGAGGTCTGAAGTAGGGCCTGTGTATCTGAAAACTTATTTTTTCTATACAGACATTGATTTAGGAAGAGATATATTCTCTTACTACAAACACCGTGTTAAAAAAAGAAAATCTTTGGCAGTCATAAATTTGTAGAGTTCTCCTGACCTTAGCATTTAGGTGAGCACCTGAGCTGTGTACTCTGAGTAGAGGAATCAACTTCGAGGTCAGGTGCTGCTGGTTGGGCGGGTGGTGGGGTTATGCAGAGAAAAGGAAAAAAAATCCCGTTGGTGCCACCTTGTGGAAGTACATAATGGCAGCAAAAGTGGTTCAGCAGAGCTGCACAAGGAGCCCCCAGTTCAGCCTCTGGCAGGATCTCCTGAGGATCTCCTGCAAGCCCTGCCGTGCGTCCCAGAGCTCTGGCAGCGATTTCTCCTGGCACGAGTAAGCACGTGTGTGTTATCCCAGCCATCACAGAGGTGGATGGATGCTGGTTTTCTGTTTCTTCCCAAACAATTGGAAATGAATTGCAGGCTTCCTCCTTTGCAGTCCCTGAATGTTTTTGTCTTGTGTCATCTTTTGTGTGGAGTTCTGGTGGTGGCCTTTTCAGCCTCTTGAACTTCAAAAGGTGGCTGGAGATTTTAAGGTATTCTTAACCTTGCTCTTCTGTTTTTGGAGCTTAAGGCTGAGTTTTTGTTTAGTCCTTTAATCAAAGTACTTTTGGGAGTTTTTTTTTAATGCGTATATTTTACTGTTTGTATTTTAGTGTCAGTCATGCTTAGTGTGGGTAAAGATGCAAGTGCAGGCAGATTGTGTTACAAAGGTGTTTTGCTTTAACGAGAGGGAGCTGCACCAGGTCCTTAGAAATTGCTGTTTAGCATAGCTGTTAAAGACCTGAGCATCCTTTCTTTCCACAAGTAGGCATTTTTGGAACCTTGAAAGGACAGGTGCAGCATATGTTGGGACATAAGCTCTTCCATAACGTAAAGGATAGGCATACCAAAAAGGAATATTAAACAGACATTCCTAGGGTAGTACAAATGAATATCCAGTATACAAGATGGAGTCATGTAAAATCAAATGGCATTTTTATGGTTTTACTTTGGGTAGAGCCTTGACTAGGTCAAACACAGCCCTGGCTTTCCTGAGGCTCTGAGAGCCTCAGCTCTCCATTTGTCTGTGTGCTCAGAGTGGCTGAGTGTGTTGTGCTGGGAATGCTGGTGTGGTGGCCAGCACAGAGCTTTTGTTCCTGAGGCTGCCACTCAGATATGTGGGCTCTGAGGAAGCCCTGCTTCTGCTGCCTTTGGCCTCCTTATTCCTTGAATGCTGTTTTAGCTGTGTTGCATGTTTGTGGTGAAGGATGAGGGTCTTTCAGAAGTGTTTGTGAATTACTGAAGAGCCAAAAATCATATGCCTGGAAATATGGTGGGCGTATGGACTGGTAGTTTATAGTGATGTATGCACATTGTTTTCTGTTTCTAAATACTCATTTTCATGGTTTATATTTCATTGCTGAGAAATCCTGACTTTTTCTCAAATCTCCAGACTTTAGAAACCCCAACACTTCAACAGATTTCGTTTACTGTCAGACGAGGGGAGTTACTGGCTGTGATTGGTCCTGTAGGAGCTGGAAAAGTAAGTCTTAATATTTACATCATTCTATGAGGCTTTTGAGTCTATTAAATGTGATAACTAGAAGTCTGAAAATATACAGTTCCTTTATGTGTATAATCACACATTCTGCATCAGGGTACTGTCATTCAAGATAGGCCCATGTCCTTTTGGGTGGGGAGCTTAGCAGTATTTTGTGTGTTGCTTCATGACTGCATGAAAAGGGTACTAGTGCTTTTCTACTCTTAGCAGTAGTAGTAGAGAGATAGTAGTACTACTACTATCATGGTAGTAAACACTTCCCAGTCTCTGTGATGTCTTTAGTGCAACCAAACTTTTTAATTTTTACTTTTATTTTTTTAAAATCTTTTCCAGTCTTCTCTCTTAAGTGCCATACTTGGTGAGCTGCCTAAAGACAAGGGTTCGATAAATGTTACTGGAAGAATTGCCTATGTTTCACAGCAGCCTTGGGTGTTTTCTGGTACTGTTAGAAGTAATATACTGTTTGACAAGGAATATGAGAAAGAAAAATACGAAAATGTTTTAAAAGTCTGTGCTCTTAAAAAGGTAAGGCTTTCTCTTTGTGTATTTTCTTTCCATTGTTATTTTTATTTTAGTGTTCTTTCAGAGCTGTGGTACAGGCTGCAATGTGCAATATATAGTATTGTTGTAAGTAGCATGTGAAATAACTCCTGTCGCTCATCAGAAATGTGCAATTATTTTTCTTATCCTTGTGTAAGGCATCCTCTTCTAATTCCCAAAGCTTACACTAGGGGGAAGTATAGCATGTGTGAAGCGCTGACAAACTTGGGAAAAGCTGTTCCCTATTATTTTGTTTCATAATTACATTTTAGCCATTTTTAACATGTGTTATGGTAGGGGTATGTGCAAATGCAGTAAGAGGCAGAAAACAAATGATCAAGCTAGCACTCTTTGTGACTTTGGTTTCATAAATATCCTGTATGCTTTCCTTTGAAATAAATGTTGTGTTTGCTGTATATTATGCATTGCAAACAGCTATCAAAAGAACCTTAGGGCTATGTACTGGAGAACTTGGTGAACCCAAGTAGTTTTAGGAAAAAATATATTTGAAAGGTTTGTGTGCAAAGGAGTTTGTGACATGAGATACAGAAGAGGATTAAGCCAGAGTTGTCAAGAAACAGACATTTTGCTTGGCAGCTAAAAAGGTTTTGTGCAGCATGTTATGCTATTTCTGTCAGCAGCGACACAGGTGAAAAGCAGATGGTTACTGTAGTGAATGTTTTTTGCAAGATTTTTACACTTGGCAGATAGAGTTTTAGTGTCTCCTGCTGATAGTCATGCTGTTGTCTAAACTTAAGGCTTTAATGACTTTAAAAGACAGCAAACAGCATTTAAAAAATCCCCACTTCATATTGATGGTAGATTTGCTTCCATAGTTTTCTTGCAAATTTATGTGTCTTATAAAAGCTGTGAATAAGCTTTCAGAATATGTTTTGTAGCTTAATGTAAAACTTCTGTATTTCTTGAATAGGAAATATGATAATATGGAACACTATGTAATTTTGTTGTTTTATCCACAGTCCTCAAGTCCCAAATTAACCAAGTCTGTGTGGTAGTTATTTTTCCTGAATACATTATAGTAAGAATAAAAACAATGTGGTTTTTATGGATATTAGCAAGATAATTTACCGATAATAGCTCGTGCAGTTTTTATTTTTTGTGACAGTACATTTTATTCAAATAAAAACTAATAAATTTACTGTTAGACTTTTTAGTATTTTATTTGATTTTCTGAATCACTAATAAATATTCCTTGCAAGACTAAGGATAGTAGTGCACTTTCCTCTGGCACAGCTGTAGAAAAAATGAACTTTAGGATCTCATCTATTTTTTCTGCTTTCTCAATTACCTTTTGCTGAAAGTACAGAGTCATAAAGCAACTGCAGATATTACATTTAGTATGAAACCTTATATTTTAATGTGTTACATTAATACTTTCCAAATAAGAAATGCTACATTGAAACAGCTTTGTCGGTGTTTGAAGTTAAAATGATTTAAAAAATATTTTTATCTGTTCTTTCACATTTGCAGGACTTGGAATTATTGGCGAATGGTGACCTAACAGTAATAGGAGATCGTGGAGCTACTCTGAGTGGGGGACAGAAGGCCCGTGTAAATCTGGCCAGGCTAGTGGTTTTTGCTGTTTCTAAAGTTTATAAATTGTCAGATTCCAGTGATTAAAGTAAACCAATGTAAGACTTTGTTATACTGACATTTCTTTAAACCTTTCAGAGCCGTGTATCAGGATGCGGACATCTATCTTTTGGATGACCCACTGAGTGCAGTAGATGCTGAAGTTGGAAGACATTTGTTTGAAAAGTAGGTTACTGCTTTATTTTAATATAAAATGCAAATATTTTATTGTAATCCCTTATCAAAAAATTTGGGAAGGTGTTTCTGAGGAGATGGATTTCTTCACAAAACTTTGTACATTTGCTTCTGATTCGTTTTTCCCCTACTTTATGTAATTGGAAGATAGAGGGTTTTTTTCTTCCCCTCTATGTTTTGTTGACTTTGTTCTTTATTTTTAAAAGCTCTGTAAAAGTCTGTTTTGGAGATATTATAAATAGAAATATTCTTAAGGGAATATCTGCCATTTTCTTAAGGAAAATACTGAGTTTCATACATGAGTATTGGGGTTTATGAATAATTGGGTTTACAAATATTAGTACTGAGTGAAGAATAAAATGGGGTGGGATTTTAAATCTCTTTTTAGTTTGCTACAACTTTACTTGCTAGTAATAAGCACTTAATTCAACTGGCTAAAGGAGAGGACAGAACTGTCTTAAACTGTTGAATAATTTTTAATTTTGATTCTTGAAATTCCTCTTGGGTAGGTGAAACAGGGCATGTGGCCTGCAGAGTAGACAGCAGAGAGCAGAAATAGAGGGAAAGAGAATGTATAAATTTACTATGTGAGAGAGGGATACTGGACCTTTCCCCACTTCCAATGAAACAGGAGAGTGTTCATTAAAAGTCAGGTTTCCTTTTCAGTGAGTTTCTTCTTCTCCATCCTTCTGAAACTGACTAATCTAAGACACATAGGTGAGTATCAGAATAATTTGGTTAGTCCCAGCCAGTGTTTTGTCCTTACTTCTTCACAGCTTGCAGCTCTCTATGTTAAAAGGCATAATCTAGAATTTACTAGAAGGAGAAGCTTCTGTTGGTGAAATTCAGTGGTCTTTGGTTCAGGCCTTCAACAAATGTGTTTTGTTTAGCATACTTGCATCCTTTGAATTCCATGCTCCAAGTACATGAATTAATTTGGTTTTACTATTGTTCTCTCCTGTCCTCCCCTAGATAATCATAAAAACTTGCAGAAATCTTGCAGAAATGGTCATAGAAATTGCACTGAGTAGCAGTGGCATGAATGTTCCTTTTTTCCCCATACAGGGAAGCTTTTAGTATCTAAATTTGAAAGTTGTACATCCTGTTGATGTTTGCAGTTTCAAATCTGGACCCTCTGAACCCCCTTTAACATGTTGCTTTATTTTACTGATGTTTTCAAAAGGCTGTTGTTCGTTTCTGTCTGCTGGTATGGAGTAAGAGTTGTATGATGCATGGGCTTTACGTTCATTTTTCAGCTGCCACGACTGATAGATGGAGTTCATCACCTCTGTAGTTCACGTGCACTATCAAATTCCTTTAATGCCTGTTGAAGCTTTCTAGGCTTCAGCTGCTGCTTTTCTGTTTCTGCAAAAGATCTCTCTGCAACTCCAGCATCTGACTGTATCAGTGCCTGAGTTCTGAAAGTGCACTCACCTAAGCTGTTAACCTGTCTCTCCCTGAAGTCTTAAGGTGTGTTCATGAAGAGGGAGATGAGAAAGTACCCTGGTGCCTTGTGAAGGAGGGCAGGCTGCCTCTTCAGCTTGCTCTACTTTCCATGTGAGCTGTGACACTGGCAGTATCTACATTCTACTGCAAACCTGCAAGTGTGGATTTTTGCATGTGCAAAACCATAAAGGAGATAGAAGCCATTGCACTGTGTTTTGCTGATAAGCGTGTGAAGATGAGGAGGAATAAGGAGGTTATCTCAGAGAATTTGAAACTCAGACAAGTAGCTGGGGTTGTTTCTGTACTTTCATTTTTTCTCCACAACTCCAGATCAGATTGAGCAAAACAGAAAGAAGTAGAATGAAAGCATTTTTTAGAAAATGGACTGGGTGGAGTAGTACTGGGAAGGAAAACCAAGCAATGCCTCCCTACACAAGACTTTAGGGGGGGTTTTTTACAAACAGAAGTTGTCTTCTGAGACCTTCATGGTATCTGTAAAGGTACTGGGGGTAGTGGGGAGAGCATTATGTTCAGTAAGTTGCTTTGAGAAACAAGGCAAGGCATGTACTTTAGTGCTTCCTGAATAGTGCTAGAAATGTGGAGAAGACAGAGAGCACTTGGGCAAGAATGATTTCTTAGAACATGGTGCTGAGGAATGTCCAAAACACCACTTCATGCAGGCTGCTCCCCCAGGAGTCCAAACCACGAGGCTTAAAACAATGGATGAGATGGAAGAAACAGAGGATTTTTTAATGAGAATCTGAAGTGGATATTGTTCAGTTCACTCACTCTTTTTTTTTCTTGCAATTTTATGTTAAAAGTTTTTTTTTTTTACAAGTGTCTAGTCTATGTGTTTACAAAGATAGGTATGTTCCTAGTAATTCCCCAAAGCTATGGCATGTGGGTGGCTGGTTCATTACATTTGCTGCTTTTCTGTATTCTATTCAGCTACTGCAGTAAGTAGTTTAAAATATATAAATACTTTTCAAATGAGAAAGAATGCAAGTAGCACAGCTCCTGTGGGAAAAGAGACCATGATATTATTAATAAAGAACTTTGGCTCTTAAGAATTTCTTCGTGATTCAGACAAGTCATTCTGTGGATGATGGAGTAGATAAAGGCAGTTTTTCAATTAATTCCTCTTTCCTGATCAGATTCCTTGGAAGGTATAAACTGAAGATTTCCTATTTTTGTGTTATTTGTTGCCTTTTTTCCTGTGGGTTCTTGATAGTTAATAGTAGGCATGCTTCAGCCTTTTTCCAGTGAGGGGTTGCCAGTATAGTTATATGTTTTTTTACATATTTGTATTTGGATATGAAAAGATGCCTTTGTTTTATATTTATTTAAATAAAAATAGCTTTTAATTCACTTTTAAGAAATCCAATATTTTGAGAAAACTCAAGTTTCAAGGTGAGGGACAGCCATCACAGATCTAGTAGCACATTTCTTTGTATGGTGAAGTTTGGAGCAGATGGGGGAGATGATTTTCTAAGAAAATCATTCAATTGCACTTGGATCTCAAGGAATTTCCTACTCTCCCTTTTTATCTATATATTGCTATAGATTATATGATTTCAGATCACTTTTAGATAAAATTGTGTCCCACCTGCAGTATTGACTCAAAAGTCATGTTTTTAAGAGTGAGATTTATATTTTATCAGTCTATTGGGGCATTCCTTTCTCTAGGTGTTGTTACTTCCTGTGTATCTTTTTCAGTGACAGGAGCTGTGTACAAGTCTCAGTTGATTATCAACTTGATTTTTTTCTTTCTCCTCTGTGCTTGTGAGAGAAGCCAGAGTTGCAGGACAGTTTAGAAATCTTTTAAAATAAGGCCTAAAAGGCCTAAAGTTGTCATGGTTCTTGGGAGTGGTATGCACATCATTCCTAGTATCCGACAGAGTTCACATAGATAAAGTTCTCAAACACCAGGATCTCTGGCTCAGAAAGTTCCTAATATATGGACTCTGGAGTCTGGAAATGGATGCCAGAGGAAGCATCTCCCTATGTACTTTCTCCAGCCATCCATTGCTACCTGGTGCCTGGAATAGGTCAATAGATTTTGTGGACCAGTTGTATCTATGTGTGACTGGGACTTGTCATGAGATGGAGGTAAATGATTATCAAGGTAGGCATAGAAGCAGAAGCAGCAGAGTAGAATGTGTAGGGTGTGGGGTTTTTTTGTCTCTGGCAAGCATAGTACTTTTTTTTTTTTTAATTTTGTAAATTTTGAAATGTGCAGAACTAACTGGGGGGTTGTTCTCCCTAAACTGCTTAAATTTAAATGGAAGGGAGAGGAAAACAAATATAGGAAGTAAATTAATGTAACAAAGGGTTTATGCCTGTGAGCACTTATGCATGTGCTTTAATTTCATTTCGGTGGTTACTTTCATTGAAATGAATATAAGTATTACCTAGAGTAAAGTTAAAATTGCATGTAAACTTCCTAAAAGGAGAGGGAGAAAGAATGGTAAGGAAGAAAGTAGAATCATTAAAGAAGAGACATTTTGCAGAGGTGAAAGAAAGCTGGTTCTTGGAGATAAAAACTTAAAAAAGATTGAAGAAAAACTTGTCTCAAAGAAAAGCAGAACTGATAGGGAAGGAAGAACAAATGAGGATTTGTATGCACGAAGTGCAAAGACTCTGCCTGTGTGTAGGGGAGCACTGTGTTGTTGTAGGCCCCTTTCTCAGTGTCTCCTGCTTCATGCTCTGCACTATCAAAGCTCAAACTAAATATTTTTTAATTCTGTAGCAGTTTGCTGTCAAAGTGCAGTGGGTTTTTCAAATGGATTATAGCATCCTGTTGCTTAAGTTTCTTTACTTAAAATACTCTTTGCTTATTTTTGTTGAATCGGAAGGGTGTAGTGTCTAGAGAGGTCTGTCCTGATTCTGGTATTTCTGATGATGTATGAAGGTCATTGATGGTATATTTTTAGGTGATGGAAAACCAGGCAACGCTAAAGGCAGTTCTGGAAACAGATATTTGTGAAGTTTTGGCTGTGGGATGTGAATTAGTAGGTGCATGCAGCAGGGTGAAGTGCTAGGTGTTGAATCCATGAGGGTACAATGAGCAGGGAGCAGTAGTGTGGAAAGGAAGTGCAGAGTGTTGTAGATGGCAAACCCAGTATGACTCAGCAATGTCATGCTCTTGTTAAGGAAACGGTGCCTTGGGACTTATGACTAGTACTATATGTGGCATTACAAGTAAAATAATACTCCTGTTATGTTTTGTACATGTAAGGTCTCAGCTGAAATAATGTTTCAATTTTGTGCCCTTCAAAAAATGTATAGACCAGCTTCATACTCCAGTGTAGGTAGCCAGGACCATTCAGGTCCAGAGCAGGGAGGCAAAATAGAAAGCTATCTGTAACTTAAAAGAAAAGTCTATTTGGGAGACTTCTTTATTACTTTTATTTGTTTTTTCTTTCATGTCTGGAGGAGAAGGACTTCAAGTATGAAGGGACCTTGTACACTAGAATGAACTGGTCTAGGGGCCCTTGGGGATGTAATGGATTGAAATTGCACCAAAGGACTTGAACTTCAGAGAAAAAAATTTTAATGGCAAGGGTAGCTTGTCCCTGGAATACATTTTCAAGGGTGTTGAAATTTCTATTTAGCTTAAACATGGAGAAGAACCCATTTAACTTCTGCCAGGAACATTTTTACGTTTAAATTGATTCATAGTTGGGGAAGAAGATGCAACTTTCACAGTCCCTTCATCTTGCTTTTTCTTGTACTCAAGAGAGGCTGGAGAACCTTTGTGTGTTCTGTGTCTGGATCTGGTGTGTCTGTGTGCACAGGTGTGTGTGTGCTTGTGCATGCAATAAATGTGGCAGTGGTGACTGGAGTTGGTGCAGCAGTTAGTCCTGTTGTCATGCATGAAATGTGCTCACAGTCTATGTGCCTCTGAAGAGTAGTGGACAGTCCCAGGGAAGGTGAACTGTCTGGGTTTTAAAACACAGGTAAAAAGGTTGTGGCAGTGCTGGGCTGGCTCCAGCAGATGTCTGAACTCTTGGCCCAGTTACATCCCCTGCTGAGAAGGCTTTCCTTGGGTTCTCTGTATCATCAGTGAGAAAGGGACACACTGTCAGATTGTGATTCACTTAGAATTGGGCTTTTCACCTGGTTGTTGTTCTTCAATTATATAGAGCAGTACTTCTATAAGTAGATGGATGATGAAACTAAACCTTAGTGAACCAGTTGGAAAAATAAACAGTTATGGACTATTTTGGAATGTTTGGGGGTTTTTTTCTTAAATCAGTAATACTGTTTAATTCTCCAGAAGTCACTGTGGCTCAAGTGTTACAGCTGGTCTGAAAGCTTCTCTCAAAGAAGTTACTTTTACTGGCTGTATTTCTCCATAATTTTCCACAGTATCTTGCCTTTCTTTCTCTTTCCTTTAGAATAATTTTTAAAAAATACTCTCTTTGCAATTCAGCTTATGAAATGTACATTTGTTGCAAGAATGTTTAAGACAAATTTAATGAAATGTCTTATTGCCTCCTCTTTTTTTGCAGATCAGAAATAATTATATATCTTTTCCCTTCCTTGAAAACTTAAGAAATTAAATGAGGAACATGTTTTGTTAAGGTTTTATATAGTTTTCGTAAATCTAGTAAGCACGATCATCTTCTTATTTTAAAAACAAAGAAATTGAATAGAAGAGATATATTTTTCCAGAAATAAATAAAGTCTTTTAGGACATTTAATTTTAATTACTCTTTCCATCTCTTTGCAGATGTATTTGTCAGGCCTTGCGTCAGAAGATTTCTGTTTTGGTCACTCACCAGTTGCAATATCTCCGTGCTGCAAATCAGATTCTAATTTTAAAGGATGTAAGTGATTTTAATGTCTATACTTATACTTTTTAACTATCCTTTTTAATCTAAGAAAGGAAAAAAAAAAGTTAGGTTTTAATTTTTAGTTTGTAAGTATATTTTCTGTCTACTTACGACTACATATGGTTTTCAAGTTTTACAATTATTAATAAGTTGATTTTTCTTGGAATACCTTCCCTGAAAAATCTGTTGCTGAATTTTGTCATGCATGTAAATAATCTTGCATTAGTAATACTTATTTCTTCAAACACTTTGTCTGGTTTTGAAATAAAAGTTTTAGCCTTCCCTTGCTTCAAATTTAATATACTCTGAGACTGTGTTAATGTTTTGCTTTTGTTCTTGTTCCTTACACTTCGGCGTGAATTAAGAACTGTGTTAATTTTGCAACAAATCAATTTTTAAATTAAGGCTGAGAAATAGTCTCAGATGCCTTTGAGAATGAGTATGCCTTCAGTACAGCTGGTTCCTTCCCATCTTCATTGTACCAGATACTGTGGCAGAGGGTCAATGCAAGGACTGCAGTTGGGGCTTTTTTCCCTTTTTTTTTTTTAAGGCTGGGTAGTGAAATATTTGAAATTACCTCTGATGCATCACAATGGTGCAAAAAAAAGGGCGCTGTCCCTCTTTTTCTTTCCATTCAGATTGCTTGAAAAATTTCAGTAGCTCTTGAGAAATGAGTTTGTGGTAGAGCTGAAAGAAATGTGGACATGGTCAGTGTTGCTCCTTGTAAGGTTCTGTGAGGATCAGAAAATGGAGGTGGTGTTTACCCCTGGGATGGAACAATATAAAAAGACTGATGGTTGTGTGTGTGTGGTTTAATAGGTTGTCCTGAAGCTGCATGGCTTGGCATGTCCCACAGCTTCTCCAGGGAAGTGATTCTCCCCTGGCTGTAACTGGGGTTGTTCTCATCCTGTTTGTTTGGCCCTGTTAGCTGCTACAAGGTGACTGGTCAGAGCTTAAAGAGCTTGTTTCTGCTCCTCTAAGTGAGGAACTCCTAGAGGCTTCAGCTCAGTTACTGCAGTGGGATGTGTGCCCAGCAACTGCAGAACCCCAGAGGTAGCAAGGACTGGTAAGAAAAATTGTCCTTTATGGAAAGTATATAATGAAGGTACTAAAACTTTGTATTGATTGTAGGGTAAAATGGTGGGCAAAGGTACCTATGCAGAGTTCCTGAAATCTGGCATCGACTTTGCTTCCCTTTTGAAAAAAGATGAGGAGGTGGTAGAACAGCTGTCAGTTCCAGGAACCCCCAACCTGAAGTCTGCCCGGAACCGAACCTTCTCGGAGTCCTCTGTCTTGTCCCAGGATTCATCCGTCCACTCACAGAAAGATGGAGCTGTGGAACAACCACCTGTGAGTGCTCAGAGGAGAGAGGTGTCTTGATTCTTGTCTGGCTGGTTTTTAACTTAAATTTTGATATGGGCTTACCCTGCAGCATTGGGATTTCAGGGATTACTGAATTGCATTACCAGGTGAGAGCTCGCCTCTGGAGAACCTCCCTGGCTGTGTTTTGCTGGCAGCTCACAGCTCAGTGTGGTGCTGTTCAAACCCAGCAGAGTCAGCCTGTTCAGTTCAGCATCAGCTCTGCTGAGTGCTGGGAGCATTCCTTGTGTGAGTCCAGAGGCACCACACTGTGCTTCTTTCAGCCTGTCCTCTGACAGCAGTGCTTTAAAGGTCCAGTCCCACTGTATTGGGTGTGTTTGTGCAACGTTGAACTGAAATGAACACTTTCCCTGAATTCCTGAGCTCTGGGAAGTGCAGGTAGAAGCTGTGGCTTTATGCAAAGTCTGTGTTTGCATAGCTGGCATCAACATGCCCATAAACATACCCACATGATCTTGAGCTGGCCCTGCGGGGGTGATCCTGGGACACTGCTGCCTTGCTCTCTCCAGCCCTTTGGGTGGTGAAAACAGAAGGCTTTGTAGGGTGCCAGTGTGACTTCCAGGTGCCTCCTTATCTCTTGGCCTGCCCAATGCAAAAGCAACGCTGACGTTTCTGTACCAGAGGTTGCCTTCTGCTGGTGTGTTTGCATTCCCATCAATCAGTGCAGGCTCCCTGTAACGCTGCTAGGCTTGTGCCAGCACTGCATCCATGGAACAAGCATTCCCTGTATGTCCCTGATGATTGTCACCCCTGTGCTGTAGGTCTATATTATCTCTATTTCTTCTCTATGATGAAAGGCAGAGAGATTAAAAAAAAAAAAAAAAAAAAAAGCTATGGACTTTTTAATGCATTTTTGAGGAATGGTTTTATGCTCCAAAGCAATGAACTTATATTATAATGCCCTAGTGGCAATTCCAGTCTTAAATTCTCTTAAATTTATGGAGGTGTACCAAACTTCTTAGCAGCATCAATTCTGTTGAATGGGGATAGGGAGAAGTGGGAAGGTGTGGTGGCTGGAGAAACAAAAAGCGAAGATAGGCTTCTCACCTTTTATGGATGAGTAGGTTGGATTTCTCTTTTCATGACTGTCAGGTCTCATGATTCCACTCCTCTTGTACAGCCATGTCTTGTGGCAACAAAATCAACTGTTACATGTCCACTGAACTGACACTAGTTTTTATATTGCATATACTGTAAAAATTAAAAAAAAAAAATCCTGATTTTATTAATTTGTATAGTTCTTTTACCTTCTTTATGCGTGTATCATTTTTCCTTCTCTGTTTTTTAGTGTCCCCCATCCATTGTTTGCTTACTATGACTTCCCATTTGTCATTTTACTTATTTTCCCTATTAACAGATGCTTTGCTCATATTTACAAGGAGATGATTAGAATTTTATTGATAACGTGTACGTCTTGGGTATAGATTGGTTGATTATGGTACATACTTGTAGAAGAGTATTTAATTTAAATGCTTTTCTGGGAAGTAAAGGTTGCCCACATTTGCATTCTGAAAACAGAATCTTCCCTGAGTAAAGGCCTTAATTTCTGGAGCTGTTATGAGTGAATGTAGTATATGAGAAAAGGAGAACCCAGATAGTGGTCAGAGTAAATATTTCTGGTGCTATATATACATATATATATATGTATATATATATAGTGTTATATTTGGTGAGCCAATGCCAAATAAAATCCTTCAAGTGTTGCTTTGCAGAGTAGATTTTCATTATTGGTGCACTGAGACTAATTTTTTTTGTCATAGCTATGTAGTGCAATATTTAACGTTTTTATATGCATAATCACTTTATCTCCTTGTTTAATTGTTTGCTAATTTTGAACCAAGTGGCTTAGTCTGAATCTGTAACTACAAGGTTGATGGGGTTTATTCTGTGGACTTTCTTTCAGGGTGAAAATGCACTGGCTGCAGTGCCAGAGGAGAGTCGACATGAGGGAAAAATAAACTTTAAAGTTTACAGGAAATACTTCTCTGCAGGAGCAAACTACTTTGTGATTTTTATACTCTTATTATTTAATATTTTGGCACAGGTAAGTTGTTGGAAGCCACAAATAGTATTGACTGTAGTTTGTGATTGTGAGATCTTTTTCCCCTCTATTTTTATTTTTTTTAAATACGCTGTGTACTTGGTGCTGTAATGTTTAGTCTAAAATGTTTGGGTGTTCTTTAATAATTTTGTAGTGTACTCAAGTGTCAGCATGGAATTTTTGGTAGAGCATTGAGAGGTCTTGCAGTGATCCTTATTCCAACAATTTTAATACCTCACTAAGATAATTATTTTGGTGACAACATGGCATGAAAATTATAAGCCAGTGTACTTTGTTTAGAAAGAGAAGAAAATCATAAGGTGTATAAAAGTGGTGTTAAAAGACAGTCAGAGTGTTTCCAGTTGAGGAGGGTAAAGAGATGTACTGGGTGTGGGAGGACAGAGCCTGACAGAAGTGTTCAAAAAGCAGCTCACCTGTTGGTAAGTGCAGATTATGTGAAAAGTTTAGGTGGAGGGTCACTGTTTAGCAGAATGAGAAAGTAAGGAAGAGCATAGGCAAATATTTTGTGTGATGCAGACTGTAGCAGGTATGTAAATGAGTTTTTAAACAAAGTTATTTACAAACTTAGTGAAAGCAATGGTGAGCTGAGGAAGCTGAGTGAGGATACCTTTCGTGAACCTTTTTTTCTGTTTCTTGCTGAGAAGGCTCAAATTTATTTCATGGAAATGATTTTTCTTGGCTGTTAGAAAATAGTCTGTATATTTTAACATCTTACTTCTTGCTTGTCCTTGAATTGAGTCTGTTGGAAAGATAGCTAAGCAAGATCAGATCTCTGTAGTAGACTGCCCACAACTTCAAATTCACATGAACAGAAGTGTATTTTGAGATAATAACCCTGTTACATGTTTGTGGTCACCTTTTGTCACAGAAGGAAGGTGGCAGAAGGAGTTTTTCCCTCCCTCTCCTCTCTCATCCTCCTTCAACCCTGTTTCTGGTAATTATCTCCTGTAAACACAAATTTCTGGACTGGTAACATCAGAAAGTTTGTTAATCAAAAAGCATTTTGGAATATCTCTTGTAGCAAATTTAGGAACTGAGAAAATGAGTTCTTTAAAGTTCAATTAACATACATTAGGAAGAGCTACTGTATTTTGTTTGCTACTAAAGTGTATTGCTTTCCTTTAGCTTGCTAACATGTAAGGTAATTTAAGGTAACTTCTTTCTTTGTAGAGCACCTTCTAATGTGCTTGGCAAATTGCTGCTGGTCTTGAAAGACTGGATGGCAGACTTTTCTGAATATGTGATGTTTTCCCAGAGAGCTTGAAAGAATAGCAAGGAAATTTAATTTTCTAATTTTTTTTTAATTTTGTGAGATGATTCTTCTATTTGCTTCTTTTGCTCAAGGTGGCCTATGTGCTCCAGGACTGGTGGCTTTCTTACTGGTAAGTTGGTGATAAAAAGTGGCTGGTTGTTTCTGCCTTTTCAGTCAAGTGCTGTTTGTTTAGTTGAAGAGGAATGGAACCTGCTCTAGAATAGTTCAGATCTTCCTCTGACTTCCACTTCTTTTTTGGGGGAAGAAAATTTAAACTTTATGCTAAGTGTAGACTGTAATTGCATCTATTCATGTTGTGATGCATGACAGCATCAATACATGAGATCTTTTGAACTAAAGAATTCAACTAAAGAACTGAATCTAGAAACAGCTAAATGCACTTATTTGATGATGGTTATCTTCTGTGTGCATTTCCACAGGGCAAATCATCAAGAAAAGTTGAATCTCACAACAAATGGAAATAATGGAACAAATGTGCCTGATCTAGACCTTAACTTTTATTTGGGAATTTATGCAGGTAATTGCACATGCATGCATGTGTGTATGTTTGTGTCTAAGAACTATTTATTATCTGATAATAAATTCAGAAATTCATTCAAGAAATGATTCTTGAGAGGTGCAAAGCAATGTGTGGGGAAATGTGATTTCTAGCAGTAACTGAGCAATGTCTTAACAGATTAAAAGCCTGAGTCTTGTTTTCTGATTAAATAGATTGCAATAAATAAAATAAATCTGACAGAAGAAATAGGTTGAATGCAGAGTCTTTAATTGCTTTTGCTGGATTTTGTAAAATAAATCAAGAATTGAGTATCTGAAAAGTCAGTCACATTAAGGTTGGGGTTATTGTCTATATATTAGTAAGTAATTGAGCTAAATCTTCAGTCATTATATGGATGGCAAGAGGGATTAGAAATGGATCTTTGTTCTGTGCTGTTCTAAAACTTGGCATGGCTACATTTCTTCTGAAGTGCCACAGAAAAAGAACAAGCTTTTAAAAGGCATCCTAGATGGGTATGCAAAGCAGGTTGTTAAAAAACATTTCAATATATTTCAATAGGTAGCATTATGCTTCTGAATATTCAGAAAAGGGCGTTGATCCTTGCATTCAGGCATCCAAACATCTTGAAAAACTGCTCTGGGATGTAGTAAAAATTGCCACAGAAGAATCATGTGCATGCTCTCAGATTCTCCTATTTAACACTCTTAGTGATGCACGATTTTGTATGGCATGGTAATTTCTTCATGGAGATGTAAATGGTTGGTGTGAGAAAACAGGTGGAATGCCAGAGGAATATGCATTGAATGTATTCAGAAACATCTCCATGGGTGAGAGAATAGGTGCAGGATTTTTTGTTTAGTTTGTTTTCTGGAATCCACGTGATCTGAGTGGCTGACAGAAAACATTGTGTTTGGCCTGGAATGCAACAATTTAGGAGCCAGATGAACTTGGCTCTTATTTTCTCTGTGTAATGTCTTATTTCCTGAACCGTTCCAGTGGACTGCACAGTGTGATTAAATGTGGCAAATTTCACTTTCTCTAACCAGGTAGCCTAAACCACATTAGTGAGAATTTTATCCTTAAAGGAATATTTTGCTCTAGATAGCAGAACAACAAAAGCTACCTTTATATTGAAACTTTTTGGTGACTTAGTGAGATATTTGCAATTGTTGAACAGACAGCATTGACTTGTCTACACAAAATTGTAAGTGGAATTGACAAAGTTATAAAAAGGTAGTACATTTTACAGGAAATACTTAATAATCCAACTTACCTTTTTCTATAATCTCTTAAACAGTATAAAACAATTTAACGTTTTTATTTCTGATTATCAATGTTTGAAAAAACAAAATTGCCCACTGTAGTAGTTCCTTCTTAGTCCTTGTTGCTTCTGTGAAACAAAGATTTTGAAGAGTAAAATTGCTGCTAATAGGGAACACTGCTGGCCAGAACTGGGGTGCCAATTCCACACCTCTTCTATAAGGCAAACATGCAAAGAGCCCTTGTCTCTCTCATACTGAGGTTCTCAGCTCATGAACAGGGAAAGCAGAGACAGACCAAGTGAAGGACTTGGAAGCATGTTTTGTTTCCCTTCTCCCCAGCCATTAGGTCTGTTCCAGTCTGTTCTGGGAGGGTTGTACCAACAGCTTCCAGCTGCTTCCAGGCCTGAGTAGAGTTGTACAGAAATGTGGGGTTTCCAGGATTGGTCCATCTCCTTGTGTTGCTCCCAGAGACAGCTGTTAGGAATGGGCTGTGCCACAGCCTCCTGCTTCATGCCTCTCCTGCTCCCTTTTTGCATGACCCAGCTTTCCTGTTTGGGTATGTGCAGTTATTCTTGGAAAAATTGTCTTCTCCTGCCTGGCCTGGAATACAGCAGCTGGGACAAGGCAAAAAAACTCTCATCCCAGCCACCATCTTTTTTCTTAAAAACAGCACCTCACAGAATGTGAGCAATAAACTGCAAGAAGACAAATGAAATAGTGATGATACCTTTATTTACTCCCTGGGAGGATACAGAAGGAAGCATATGGGATAGCTTAACCATGTCACATAATTTAAAACCTCCCTCTTTCCCACTGTTACTATAGCTGTTCCTGAATTGTGTATGATTTTAACCTGCCCTGAGAATAGGCAAGGTTTTCTTCTGATACTTGGGGTCTAACTGCAGCATGCCTTCAAGACCTGAGGTAGCTATGCTGTTTTCTGAAGCAGAACACGTGGAGCCTGAAAGCTCTGCTAAATGTAAGGTTTAGACCTTCACTGTTCACTTTTATTGACAGGGAATTTGAGCAGCCACATTGGAGATTATGCACAACAAACAGAGCAACAGCAATCTCATTATTTATTTCAGTTTTTTGCCCTGTAGCACCCTTGTCTTGTAAGCAGAGATGTGCCCAGAAGAGAAACAAAGAGTCTGCACACCAGTTCCCTAGAAGGACTGTTTCTTCTCATGGCATAAGGAATGCATCTTACATAGTGTGAAAGACACATAATTTATGTGATTTGTGTGTTTTACAAGGGGGAGAATGGCATGAGTGGTTTGGGCTGATTGGGAGTAACTCAAGGTTGTGTCTAAATAGCCATGTATATATTACTTGTTTAATACCTGCTGGCAAGTGTTGAATCTTCACAGTGACCTGTGCAAGCCACAATCATACATGGCACTGCAAAATGAATTTTTTAGTAACGCTGTTATGCAGAAAGTTTCAATATGCATTTATCTCATGGGTTAACAGACATTTCCTACATTTCTATGAAGTACCAGTTCTTTCAAACAGAAGTAGAGAAGTGGATTAAATTGATTCTGTGATAATAACTGAAGCTAGTGACAAATGTATCTGTGTTCTGCACTCAGTCTGAGTCCCCCTAGGCTTAAGTTTGGATTCTTGCTATATTATGCAGCAGTCCAGAGAATTTGGTTTTAGTGCAATTTTATTTTTAACTTTTTTTTCTTCTGAAAGATTCATATCTTTTTGCAGGCTCTGTTCATGTTTTTTTTATTTTTTTTTATTTCAGGTTTAACAGTGGCTACAATACTATTTGGCATAATAAGAAGTCTTCTGGTGTTTCGAGTTCTTGTCAATTCTGGTCAGAATTTGCATAACAAAATGTTTCAATCCATTTTGAAAGCCCCTGTCTTGTTTTTTGACAGAAATCCTATAGGTAAGTTTATTATAAAAAAAAAACAAACTCAATATTTAATGTATCTCCTTGATTGCACAAATTGTACCATTTCTGGACAATTACAATTCGATGGTATTTTTGCACTTCGGTTGTGTTCTTTTGCTTCTTTTACTTAGACTTTCTAAATCTAAATTTTTACTTAGACACTTCAAATTTTACAGTGTAGTCCTTTTAATTTCAAACTCAGACTGCTTATTGTTGGTTCATCTTACTGTCTTTAAATGCAGCTTACAGAACAATGAATTAGCTGTAGCTTTGTGGTTGTATGTGGACCTGTATTTGCACTGCTGTTCTGATGCAGTTTCACAAGTCTTCCATATGCTGAATGTGTGTGAATGCATTTTGTAAAACTGTGATCCAGATCCTTATGTTCTTCAAAAGAAAGGAGAGAGAAGTGGAGAAGAGTGAAGAGAGTGGGAAGGTGGGTGGTACTGATTGACCAGCCAAAGGTTTGTCTTTTACATGAGAACCAGAAACCTGATGGTCTTCACTCCCTTGGAAAAAAATTGACTCGTTCTCATAGCACCAGAAGGCATTTAATTGTAAGGATATATAGGGATGGCTTTATTGTTTCAGAGAAAACAATAATATTTTCAGGAAATTGATACTTATGTGGAGAAAAGGTTCATGCCCGTGATGTGATGAATGAAATGTATACAATTTAATCTTAAAGAGCACCCCTGTAACTGCAGAAAGGTAGGGCTGTGTTACATGGCCTGCTTGTACTGTGAGTGTTACATGGCCTGCTTGTACTGTGGAAATGTAAGTTCAAGGCCACTTGAACTTACACTTTCCTTCCATAGAAGGGAAGCTCAGGAAATGGGAGCTAGTGAGAGCACATGCATGAGAAGAAATCCTAGTGCTGATGTGTCAGGTTTTCCTCTTCTCTCTTGTGTATGTGTGCGCAGCAAACGCAGTAACTTCGTTTTTGAGCGAATACAGAGTGATCTTGTAAGAATGCCCATAAATCTGGTTCATAATAACAAACCAAGAACTAGAGAGAAAACATCAGCAACAATGTAGAGTAACACCAGTTTGCTTTGTAACACTGTGAATCTCTAATTAGCAGTGCATTGTAAAACTGACATTCTTTAAATCTGCCTGTCGCTGGTATTCACACACTGTTGTGACTTAGATGTGTGTTTCTGTTAATCAACAGATATTTTATAATAGAGGATTAACTTCAAGATGCATATATTTCTTTCCCTTCATCTTTCTTTTGGCCAGGATGGCATGCAAAAGTACTGCTGTTCTGATCTCTGCATTATTTGAAAAAGGAAAAAAGAGAAGAAAAAAGATGACACATGAAACAATGTTCTCCTTCAGAATTGCAGCATTTAGCAGTTCTGAAATCTGTTTTTAATATCTGTATTTCATTGTCTGATTTACATGGGTTTTTTACTGTTTATTTTCCTTTTAGAACTTCACATGCTATTTCTTGCATTGAGGTGGGATGATTTTTTTTCCCCTATCTTTTTTTTTAATATGCCTATGAAAGACATACTGAAAAGAAATTGAAGTTTTTAAATGTGCTTTTTTCTAGCCTGTGATTGTAATAGCTAAACCAAACTATTAGTTATTATATCCCATATTAGCAAAGCTGATATTGCAATATCAGATCTGTCATTTAAGCATCCAGCATGTTCTCAGTGTTAGTATGAGGTCTCTAAGGCCTCACCAGAAGCTGTTGCTGGACTGAATTTTGCTGTTTTATTTATCAAAAAAGAATCAGTAATTAAAAAATGCCACGGCTAGTATTTTTAACACACGCCGATCTGTGTTCCAGAGTTGAGTAGGTAACTTCAATAAACAAACATCCCAAGCTCTTGGTAGTTCTTACTGGGGAAGCAGAGTAGCGAGGAGCATCAGGGAGCCGACATTAGGAAATGGAAATGCGTGGTGAATCATGACATGTCTGTCAGCTCCCAACAGTGTAGATCCAATCAGTCCTGGTGAATAAATGAGATGACTTATTTCTAAAAAAATTGTGCTTTGTGAATCAGTTTAGGCATAAGCCCAAGATCTCTCTTTACAGAGTGTATTAGGAATATATGGGGAGGGGCAGGTTGTAAAGGGAATAGTAACTAGCATTTTATCCAGATGATAGAAGAATGTCAATGTATTTTTGGAACCTGGATTACATAGCAGAGAGAGAAAAGGAATAAAAGGACCCCTCTCTTGTCTCCCTTCCTAGCCAAAAATGTTTGTATGTACACAGATTTCACCTTTAAATTCAGCATAGGTCTAAAAAGAATTAAACTTTACTGTATATTTTACACTGGAAGAACCTTATTAACAAATGACTGTCTCTCTCTTTCCTTCTTACTTCTAACCCTACTGAGCTGATAATCTTAAGTGACCAAAGTACATTGTCTTACCCAGCATGCAGAAAAAATTGCCATTTATTTATGACTGAAATTCTAATTTATCAGCAGGTATCTCTACAGCATCACTTACACAGCTGTTGTGAAAGCTTGATGGGTAGTTGAACCGTTAGTATTTTGGGTTTTATTACGCCTGACTTCTCTGCATTTGTTCATAGAAGTTATTTTTTTGTGTGTAGAATTTGGCTCTCTGGAAACTTCCTTTGCTCTTTTACCCATATCCCAGTAAGGGAATGACATGAATGTCAAAGTATCTGTAAAGTAGGAAGATGTGGACATTTTCTATTTCGTAGTGAATGCTTTATATATTGCTCTTCACATGTCAGTTGCAGGAATAAAAAGGGGTTGATTCCTGTGCCTGTCTAGCACAAGAGGGCAGCATGATCTGTTTTATCCCAGTTGAGCATTACAGAGGCTTCTTAGAAGGATAACAAAATTCATCTGTTGTGTTTTTAGAGATGATATTTGAGGAGTAAATTTTCAACCTCTCCGCTGAGCAATAGTACTGTGGTTCCATTCAGTTGTCTTAATTGTCTGCAAGAATAGTATTTTCTCCTGATCTTTTACACAATAAGCTTTTCAGCTTCATGTAGTGCTGAGTTCAGGAACTTTTTTCCTTTTGGAAATAGTGGCCAAAAAGTCAGATAACCCTCTAGAGTCACAAGACTCCCACCAGCGAGACCTTCTTCAGCCATTATTCCTTTTAATTTCTTTTCCAAGATATTTGTAACACTTCAAAACAGATTTGTTATAAAGCTATGTGAAGGGGACCTGGACTTCAGCAGCAAAGACTTGATTTGGGACTTGGCTCTTTTGAAATGAATTTCTTATTGAATAGTTCAGATGATCCTACTTTTGACAAGTTTCAGGATTTCAGGATTTGATTCAAGATTATTTGCTTAGCTTGTAAATGAATTGTTCTTTTCTGGGATTTAGGGACAGAGATTAGAGAAGTGATGCTGATGTGTAACTGCATAATTTTCAGTTATGGTGGTTCTAGTGTAAATTCTGTGTAATTTTGAATTTCATTGAATTTAGGAAGCTGAAACCTGCTTCTGCTTTGCTGATGGGTGCTGTAAGAAGGAATGGATGATATGCATTAATTTGTTCAGATAAAACAGAAATCTCTTCCCCTTCTAGAGAATCTGCCTGAAATTTAAATTGAACCAGAATCACTACATAAGTAATTTTTCTTTTTCTTTCAGCAGCTTTTTCTTTTTTTTTCCCCAAATTGTATCTCCTCAAACTGTTGGTTCTGACAGTTATAGGAGGAAAAGAAATATTTTGGCAGACCTTGCAGCATTTCTGGTCTTCTTAGAAACAGGAAGCACTGAATTGTATGATGTTTGTCCTTGACCTGTTAAATTAACAGATTTTTTTTTTCCCCTCTACAAATGCATTGTGGAAGCATTAAATAAACTTTGATCCCTTTGGGTACTTACCTAGACTTTGAGATTTGACCAGGTTATAGAGAGAAATACTCTTTTTTTGGTTTTGGCAGCCAGAAATGGCACGCTGAACTGATAGCTAATAGCAGCACATGAAAGCAAACTCCAAATATAAAAAGATTAAAATGTGAAAGAAAGCTGTTGTTATAATGAAGTTTGTTTTTCTTTAAGGCATAAGGATTTTAATTATAGTGTTCATAAGTCAGCTGCTGAAATGCTTATAATTTGAAGAGAAAGTTTCTTTATAGGATTAAAAGCATGTTCATCAGTGCACAAACGACTATCTGCATTTTATCTGACAGAAGTGTCAAATGGGCAATGTTGTTACAGTGTTTCAACCATATAATATTTGCAACGAATATGGTATTTCAGCAGTCTGAAAATTACAATGCTGATAATGAGGTTGTTAAATTATACTTTATCAGATGGATAGTGAAACTGCTCTAGTTAGTGTACATTAATGTATGCTTGTTCACACAAGTGATTCTGCTGAACAAGTAGCATGTTTAAACAAGAAATACTGGTCTTAAACTGTGTGATTTACAGTAGGTGGTGTTTTGGCATATCATGCAGTTAACAAGGCAAAGCTTCATGTTAAGATACTTCGTTTGTAGTCTCATTCGTCAGTGATATAAATATTCAGTAGCAATGCCAGGAAATGTATTGTATTCCTATTTGACTCAATGACTCAATTGCTTTCTTTATTTCTTTTTTTTTTGGAAACAAGATCTGTCCTATCTTTCTGATGCAGTTTTCAGATATATCCTTGTGGTCAAGATGAATTCTGCAGGGTTGTGAAAAACTGTACCAGCTCTTTTGACAGCTTTCATGTTCTCTTAAGCTAATACAAAAAAATGCATTGTCCTTAAAGCAGCAGAGGCTTTGTTTTTGACTCTCTGTGCCAAGCTCTAAAGGGCATTCACATGTGCACAGGTTTGTTAGTTTATGTTGAAAAAGAAGTCCCTATAGAACGGCCTTTTGTTGTAAAATAAAAACACAGATTCTCTCTTCCGTGTTGGTAATCACTTGCATTTGTTGTTATTAAGATGGCAACACAATGGGTTCCATCAATCATCAAGATCCTTAACAACCACACAACGTTGTAAATATTATGTTTGGGTGTTTGAGTGGAACAGCTCGTCACTGA